GCATTAGCTTCGTCCTGTGGGGCCGGAGCAGCATCCACAGAGCCCACCCACCTCGCCAGCCGTGGCTGGTTTCCGCACATGGGGGTCTCCCTGGGGCGGGCAGAGCCTGGGTCTTCCCGCAGGAAGGGGCGGGACAGGGTGCCCATGGGGGCAGACCCCACGAAATGAAGCCCAGGCAGTGACGGTGCCCTGCCCACAGCTGGCCTCGCCTACTCGAACCTGGTGTATGACTGGGTGAAGGCCGCCATCCTCTTCGGCGTCGTCAACACCGTGGCGTGCCTCGACCACCTGGACCCGCCCCAGCCTCCCAAATGCATCACTGCCCTCTACGTCTTCGCGGAAACGTGGGTGCCGGCCAGGGCGGGGAGGCGCACCTGGGACCACACCTTCCCCTGGCCTCCTCCCCACGAACCTGAGGGCTCATGTCCACCCTGAGGGCTCATGCCCACCCGCTTTCCTCTTACAGGCACTTTGACCGTGGCATCAACGACTGGCTTTGCAAGTGAGTGGGGGTGGGGTCACAGCCAGCCTGCCAGGTTTCTGAGCAGGGCAGTGCCAAGATGGGTCCACCCTTTAAAAGATCACCCCTGGGCCAGGGGAAGCAAAGAGCACAGTGAGGAGGTCTTAGCGGAGGTCTGGGTGAAAGATACAGAAGGTAGGACTTGAGTAGGGGGGAGGGAGAGGGGTCACACAGCCAGCAGCCAGCGCCAGAGGGGGAGAGAGGTGGCGGGAGGGGGTCACACAGCCAGCAGCCTGGGCAGGACAAGGCCGTGAGTGTGGGTGTCGGGAAGGAGAGGGAAGTGATGCCTGAATTCCTATCTGCAGCCTGAGAGGACGGGGGACTTCAGTTTCAGAAATGTCTAGCTGCAATCCAGGAGATATCCCTCTGGAGATTCAGGGAGGTGGCTGGGCCTGAGGAGGGTCTGGAGGACCGACAGAACTCAGAGCGTGCTGAGTGTGGGCAGGTGGTCCTAGGCGTCAGGAGAGGGAGTGGAGTGAGAAGAGAGACGGGGATGGCCGAGGTGAGGCCTGCGAGCGCTCTGCTTGGAGGGAGAAGGAAGAGCCGGCAGAAAGGACTAGAGAGGCTGGAGGACAGGAGACCCGCCCTGGAAGCCACGGGAAGACCGTCCAGGCCTGGTGGGGGCTGCAGGGAAGCCGGAGGCCGAGATTAGTGCTGGTAACGTGGAGGTCTGCAGCCTTTCACGGGCAAGGCAGGGCAGGTAAGGAGGGAACATGGAGGGGTGTGGGATGACTGCGGGGAGGAGAGGAGTGGCTGAGGGAGGCGAGGGTGTGTTAGAGATAGGAGGGAACGGGGCACGCTGAGCAGAATCATTCAGCAGAGGAGATGGTGGCGCAGGACACAGGGGTGACCGATGGAGTGAGGTCCCCACGAGGAAGGAGGTGACAGCGGCTCATTCCAGGCAGAGGTCTAGCTTCAGCGGGAGGAGGAGGAGAAGCCAGGGTGCATGCGGAGGAAGGCAGGTTAGTGTGGACAAGCACCGGACTCCCCCGAACGCTCAGCCTTCTCCACGAAGCAGGAGGCACGACCATCCGCTGAGAAAGGCAGGGCTGGGGACGTGGAGAGGCAACACGTGTGCCCGTCCCTGCAGCCCAGCCTGGATCTCCCCACTCTTACCATCTCTCCACTCGTGCCTGCGGGGATATACGGGCACAGTGACCCCTGCAGAGCACGGGAGAAGCAGCCGACTAGAGAAACCTTGGCGCTGAGCGCCCAGGTGGTATTGGAGGTGGTAGGCTTATGAACTCCAGCAGGTGAAGCTGTGAGGCCCCCCCCTCCGCCCCCTTGGGGCTTAGCTGCCTGGGTGTAGCTGAGGAGAAAGTAGGTGGGCGAGAAGGAAGAAGTCAGGAGTAAGAGTTCTTAGATTGTTTACAGTGATGACTCATTGGATTAAGCCTGCTAAGGATGGGGGTGAAGATGAGAGGGTCACAAGGCCAGTAGGATTGAAGAACTGAAGCCAGGGGGCCAGGAGGTCAAGAGGGGTTGGGCGAAGAGTGGGAATTAGGACGGAGTGAACTTTCAAGTGGTGACAAAGTTGGGGTGTGACCACGGCTGTGGGTGGTTGCCGTGGAGCGGAGAAAAAAGCCATCGGAAATGAGGATGTCCAGGAACGGAGAGGCTGGTTATTCATGGGTCTTCTGCTGAATTTATTATTTTTTAAAAAATTTTATTTATTTATTTATTTTTTTTTTTGAGATGGAGTTTCGCTCTTGTTACCCAGGCTGGAGTGCAATGGCGCGATCTCCGCTCACCGCAACCTCCGCCTCCTGGGTTCAGGCAATTCTCCTGCCTCAGCCTCCTGAGTAGCTGGGATTACAGGCACGCGCCACCATGCCCAGCTAATGTTTTGTATTTTTAGTAGAGACAGGGTTTCACCATGTTGACCAGGTTGGTCTCGATCTCTCGACCTTGTGATCCACCCACCTCGGCCTCCGAAAGTGCTGGGATTACAGGCTTGAGCCACCGCGCCCGGCCTGCTGAATTTATTTAACAAATATTTATTGAGCACCTACTATGTGCCAGGCACTGTTCTAGGCACTGGGGTACAGCCGTGAACATGGCAAAGACCCTGACCTCGTGGAGCTTACAGTCTAGTGGGGAGAGACAGACCATAAACAGGTCAAACACATGAAGGAGAAGCTTTAGAGAGTGGTCAGTGTTACGAAGAAGCTAAAACATGCAATGGGACAGGATAGGGGCTTCTCCAGTGGGGTCTGGGCGGGCTTCTCTGAGGAGGTGGCATCTGACCTGAGATTTGAGTGGTAAGATGCGGGGCAGAGAGTACCGGGTGAAGTCGGGCACGTGTGGAGCGGGGTTCGAGCAGGGATAGGGGAATCCCAGCTGTGGAGGGGTGAAGACCAGAATGGCCGATGAGCAGCATCGTGAATGGGGGGAGCATGGGGGCTGGCGAAGTCCGGAAGGGAACGGAAACCAGGCTACGTGGGATCTTCTAGCCAGAGAAGAGAGGCTGAGTCTGTTCTGGTTGTAATGGGGAGCTCTTCAGAGGGATTAACCATGAAGTGACGGGACCTGAGCTACACTCTTAAAAGATGCCTCTGGCTGCTGTGCGGAGAATGAAATGTGCGGGCAAAGGCAGAAGAGAGAGGACCACTTATGAGGCTCTTGCAGTAATTTCTGTGAGGAGAGAGGTCATCTTGTCTCGGTGGTGGTGACGGCGGAGGTCAGCACTCAGTGGAGCCGGTAGGATTTGCTGGCTTGCTTGAGCGTGGTGATGAGGCCGATGGAGAATCCAAGCCCGCGCCAAGGCTCATACCCTGAGAGGCTGAATGGACGGCGGTGCCATTCACGGAGATGGGACAGAGCGGGCTCTGAGCAGGGACAGGGGAATCTGTCATTCAAGTGGCAAGGCTGGTAGCAACTGGATATGCAAAGCAGGAGAGACCGGGCTAAAGACGGACGGGGGGGTCATTGGCACAGAGGTAGGACTTGAAATCTTGGGTCTGGATGAGATCACCTGGGGAGTACACAGCGCTGGAGCGGCTATCACACCCAGGCTGAGCCTGCCGCCATCTGAAGTTGGTTAGAGGAGGAGCAGCTACCTGAGGTCAGAAATGTCCAGGAGGTCGCCCTACTGTGTGTCCTCTCCCATCTCATCCCTGCCCTTCCCACACTCCAGGTGGTCTTCTCCCGCTTTTCCTGCAGATACGTGTATGACCACGTTGGTGGGGAGCATTCCGCCGTGATCCCGGAGCTGGCAGCCACCGTGGCCACGTTCGCCATCACCACTCTGTGGCTTGGGCCTTGTGACATTGTCTACCTGTGGTCATTCCTTAACTGCTTTGGTCTCAACTTCGAGCTCTGGGTGCAAAAACTGGCGGAGTGGGGGCCCCTAGCACGAATCGAGGTGAGCAGAGAGGTCTGGGGCTGGGACTGGCTGGGTCACGGAGGGCAGGGCACTGCTGCTTTCGGGAGGTGCCCAACCCCTCGCCCCCAGTGCAGAACTTTCTCCCCAGCCTCTCCTGGTGGTCAGGGCAGTGGCGTGCTCTGTGGGAATCCGGCCCTCCCTGCCTTCTATGGGCTGGAGCACCTGGACCTCACTGCGCTGGTCAGGCCTTGCCCTCTCTGGACCTGTCTCCCGTGTTTAACAGGGAGGGAGAGCCGGCCTGGGGCTCCCCGAGACCGGCCTGGCCGTGTGGGCCAGGCTGCTGACCCACCTCACCCTCTTTCCCTTGGCCTCCTGGACCGGACAGGCCTCTCTGTCAGTGCAGATGTCCCGCAGGGTCCGGGCCCTCTTTGGAGCCTTGAACTTCTGGGCCATCATCATGTACAACCTTGTGAGCCTGAACAGCCTCGAGTTCACGGAGCTGGTTGCTCGGCGCCTGCTACTCACAGGTGAGGGGCAGGGTATGGAGATACAGAATGTGCCAGGCACCAGCCTCAAGGACCGGGACCTTCCAGAATGCCTCCCACCCCTCGTCACCCCAGGGACCCAGCAGGGAGGGCCCACCACATCGGGACGAGGATGGCAGGAGAAGTCACCGCAGATTTGGATTGCCTGAGCATCTGCGACCCCTTCCCCACACAGGGTTCCCCCAGACCACGCTGGCCGTCCTGTTTGTCACCTACTGCGGTGTTCAGCTGGTGAAGGAGCGTGAGCGAAGCCTGGCACTGGAGGAGGAGCAGAGGCAGGACAAAGAGAAGCTGGAGTAGGAGGGAGGGCACAGGGACGGGCTCTGCTCAGCTCTCCTTGGCTGGATGAGGCCTGACCACAGAATAAATGACTTTTCTACCACCGCTGGGCTGCTCCCCTACCCTTCTCTCCACAGACCCCTGGCTCCACATCCCCGGTGGCTGAGGCTCGGCCTTGGGAGGGGGGCAGGGGTTTCCACCCAGGGAGTGGAGGAGACACCAGTTGGAGGCCAGAGACCACCGACTAGGCAGTGCGGCCGTGAAGCCCTGAAGCCCCCAGGTCTTCAGAACACCTGCTCACTGGCTCTAGAGCCCGGACGCGGACCTGAGCTGCTTGCTCGGAAGACACTTTATTCTTCTTAGAGACAGAGACTGCCCCGCACACTGCATTGACGGGGACGCTCCTGCCTAGACTCAGTTCTGTGGGGAACTTTCCAGCGCTCCAGCCAGGCTGGGTGGGGCCAGGATACTGCCCCGTGGTTCTGGCTCATGGGTCAAGACAACCCAGGGAGACATGGCAACAGTGGAGAAGCCGCTAGTTCCTCAGCCTTGCCCAGAAGGCCGGGGCCAGGCAGCGTCCCTTTCCCTGGCTGACGAAGCCCTGGGGCAGTAACTGAGTCCAGCCTCTGGCCTCTCCTAACCTCTTCTCCGGAGCCCCCACAAGGCCAGACCTGTGAGGGCTGCAGGACGGGAGGGCACTGAGCTCAGGCCCCGGGCTGCTCACATCTTGGTCAGGCGAAGCACGTTGAGCCGCACCGGCAGGAAGGTGGCACCGGCCGCGTAGGCGATCTCCCGAAGGACGCCCTCCCACTTCTTCTCCTCCTCGTTATACCTGGGGGTGAGAGAGGATGGGGACAAGGACAGGGAGCTCAGCCAGCTGAGTCCAGAGTGGAACGCAGCAGAGAGGGCAGCTGAGTGCACTCAGCCATCTCTAAGATACCTGCTCCTGAAGGTCCCCCGGCTCTGGGAAAGGAGACCCCACAGGACCCACCCAGGAACACCCACCCACACTCCAGGAAGGGCCTTGCTCCCCAGGAAAGATCTCCTCTCAAGTGGTGTTCCCATATTCCTCAAGGCCCCCCTCCAGAAAGGTCTACACTGCCACACCGCCCCCTCAACGTCCTTGAGAATTTCCGCGCTCCATTTCTAGGAAGTCTCCAGTCCCCTCCAGCAGCACTGCTCCCCAGGGGCTGCCTGCAGCAGGGGGATGGCTGCCGGTTCAGGAGATGCCCCAGAGGCTAAAGCCTCCTTCCCCCACCCCGAGAAGGACCAGCCATCGAGAGCAATGGTTCTGAAAGTCCCGGTCTCCAGCCAGCTGCTTCCCGGTCCTGGTGGCAGCCCTGGCTCCAGACCAAGCACCCAGAAGGCAGGAGAGAGGAAAGCCGGCTGCTGCCTGGGACCTGTTTCTGTAGGCCTGTGGCCTTAGAGTAGGTCTGCTCCTGTCTGCAGCATCGTTGCTGACCTGCCGTGGGGCACGGTGCTATCTGTGCAAGCCCGGACTTCCCCAGTAAATGGAGAAACGGCCGGGCAGGGTATGTTGGCTGGTCCTCCCTGCAGGACTCCCCGGAACAGGGATCTGCTTTGCCCTGAGAGGAGCTTGCCCGGTGCCTGGGTACCCCACCACGGTGCTGTCGGTGTCAGCCTTGCTCCTGATCCCCCCTCACCTCCCTGGGGCCGGACTCACCTCCAGATGTCATTGAGCTCTGTGGGAACAAGCTCTCCGGACTCAGTCTCCAGTGTGGCAAAGCCACCGATGGCATAGAGGGTACCCACCAGGCTGACCAGGCTGAGGGAGCTGCGTTCCTGCGGGAAGGCCTCGAAGGGTGCCCACCTAGGGTGTGAGGAGGTGCATCGTCGGAGTGCCTCAGCAAGCCCGGGGCTCCAGCTGCACGTCCCAGGCACCCAAGCCCCCAGCCCGCTGCCCCGCCCTGTCCCAGTGTCTTCCCTCTTGCTCCTCCCCTTTCCCTCCCTGTTTTCTTGGCGATTCTATCCAACTTGCCCAGCAAAGTCCACCATGGATCTCCCACTGCCCCTCCCCCTCGCCGGAACTCACTCTGGCCGCCAACTCCCAGCCCAGCCCCCAGCAGGCTCCCACCTGAGCCCCTCGGCGGCCCTGCAGCCCCGCCCCCGCCCGCACACCTGCCCAGCCCTTCTCCTCCCTCAGAGCCCAGGTGTTCCCAGCTCGTCTTCGCTGCCCTGGCTCCTGCCTTGGGCCTTGGTCCGTCCTCCAAACTGCCTTCCCTGAGGTCCGCAGCCACTGCGCATGCACTGAGGCCCCGGGGGCGCACGCCCTGCGGTCGGGACTTTCCTCACCTCCCATCTCTCCGCCTCCCCTTCGTGGCCTCCTTCCTGGATAACGCAGCTGCCCTCACCATGCACACCCTCTCTCCCGAGGGAGCCGGACCCCTCTGCGAGCTACTGACCCCAGATCTCTCCCTCCAGCTCAGCCCTCGCTCTTCCAGGTGGGGTCCTTTTGGACACCCCAGGCACTTCAAAGCCACATGTCCTAAGGGGACCCTCACTTTCCCTACCCAATCCCCATGATTCTACAGTAAATGGCCTCCCACTGTCACTCAGAAACATGCCCTTCTCCCCCACCCCTGCATCCAATCAAGAGCTAAGCCCTGTTTCTTCCACCTCCTAGACGCTTGCTACTCAAAGTGTGGCTCACGGACCAGCAGCATCAGCATCTCCTGGGGGTGGACTAGAAAGGCAGCGGCACAGGCCCTCAGGCTGGGAATCTGTACTTTAACACCATCCCGGGAGACGGGCATGCCCATCACAGCCTGAGAAGCCCTGGCCTGCGATGCCCTCAGCCCCATCCCGCGGCGCCCCTGGCTCCTGGCCTTCACCACCCCAACCTTCCTGCCCTCTGGGAAATCCCTAATCCAATCTGTGTACCAGCGGCCATGAAGTGCTTGAGTAGAACACAGATGTGACACAGTCCCTTTCCTGCAGGCCCCACTCCAGCCCAGCACCCCAGCCCACCTCCATCACCAATCCCAGCCCACCTCCATCACCCAGCCCCAGCACCCCGTCCTACTTCCATCACCCAGCCCCAGCACCCCATCCCACCTCCCTCATCCACCCCCTGCACCCAATCCCAGCACCCTATCCCACCTCCATCACCCAGCCCAAGCAGTGCCTTCCCTCCTGTGGGCCTGGCCTTTTCTCTCCTACCTGCCTTAGTCTGGGGCAACCTCCTCCCACCACCCTCATCCAGTTTGCCAGCTGGGTCCAGCTGTCTCAGTTCAGTTTTCTCTTCTCTGGTGTCCCAGGGAGGGCAGCGTCTGTCTCGTTCACTGCTATATCTCTTGCACCAGGCCACCGCCTGGTGTAAGTCCCTGAGTGAGGAACCTGGCATCCCCTCCCCCAGCCGTGGGAGCCCCTCCTGCAGACCAGGCTGGCCGTGGCCCTTGCCCCGCCTCCCACCTCACTGCTGATCAGGAGAGAAGGCCTGTGTCTATGCTGATGTCAAACCCAACGCTGAAGACCCAAGACAGGGACTGTGGCTCCTGCCGGGGCTGACAGAGGCCCAAAGCCACACAGCTGTCCATGGCAGAAGGGACAAGTTTCCGTACTTGTTGTCTGTGATGCTGTACACCTCAGCAGAACTGGTCAGCCCTGTGTCGGTGACCCCAGCTGCCACCACAATTCGGCCATCGTGGACAGTGGCCCCGAAGAGTGAGCGGGCGGTCCGCATGGGTGCCAACTCCTTCCACTCGAACTTCTTGGGGTCATAGACGCACATCTTGTTCAGGCACTTCCTGTGGGGTGGAGCGCGGGAGTGAGTGGAGACGCCCAGCCACCCTCGCTGCAGGCACCTCCAGGGCAGCCAGGACAGACCCCTGACAGCCTCCGGGGGGTCCTGCCTGTGCTCCACAGACTCGCGCCAGGCCCAGCCTCACCGGTCGCCACCTTTGCCGCCAATGACGTAGACAAGGTCCATGTGAGACAGCACCACGTGGCCGTATACCGCGTAGGGCAGCGGGTCCGACTCGCCCCATTTGAATGACCTGGAGGAGACGGAGTGGGGGTGGGCACGCACCCCAGCTCAGCTCAGTCCCCGTCTCTGCACCCATCCACCCATCCACCTAACGCATACAGAGCCACTGCCGGAACTTCCCGGGCCTCTCAGTTCTGTGCCCCCGCCCCACCTCCCAGCTGCCCGCCCCCACCCAAGCCCAGCCTCACCTAAGCCTGAGGTTCTGGCTCCAGCTCCCACCCCAGGCCCTAGACCACAGTGGCCTCCGTGCCCCACCCGCCCCGGGGTGCCCACCCCGCCCCCGCGCACTCACAGCCGGTCGTAGCACAGGACGGAGTCCAGGCAGCGCTCGCCATCCTTGATCTCTCTGCCACCGACCACATAGATGGAGTTGAGGGCCTCGCCCAGGCCAAAGAGGCAGCGGGGTGAGGGCAGCGGTGGCATCCCCAGCCACTCTGAGTCCAGGTGGTCAAACTGCGGGCCAGGGGTCCAGTCAGCAATCGCCCCCAGCTCCCCTGGCCTCAGTCCAGCCCCACAAAGTCCCACTGCCCCAGGTAGGGCCAGTGCCCCCCCTGCCATCAGGCTGAGAGCCGATGAGCATCCCCCACGCCCAGGCAGGCTCCCGGCAGCCACCTTTATAGCAGGTGGTAGGGCTCACAGCATGGAAATGGGGGCAGCCCTGTGAGGGAGGCCCGGCTATGGCCTTACTTCCCCAGGCACTGAAGCCTGCCCCCACGCTGCTCTCCACCCCAGCCCACTGTTCAGAAAACTTCCAAATGCAGCCCCGCCTTTCACCCTGTAAAACCTACAGTCCACGGCCTCGTCCACAGCTCGTAATAAAGATGTTAATTCTAGGGGCTCATCTTTTTGGAAAGTTTTCTGAGGGCTCAGCACTGTGCTGATGAGCACTTTATAAACATCACTTACTTTATCATGACCTTATCATGCAGGAAGAATAATATCCCCACTTACAAACAGAAGCCCAGAGGGAACAAGTAATGTCCCCACCCTGCTGAGCCAGTAGCTGGCGACGCTGCCCTCAGCCCCCAGCGCAACCGGACATAAGGCTTCGTGAGCTGAACCTCGGCCCAGGCGCCTGCTGCCGTCCTGCTGGTCAGCCTCCCTGAGCACGCCGCTCACCAGGCTCAGCCCCCGTTCGGTCCCTTGTCTATGGTTCTCTGGCGGAAACACGGCCACTTCCCCTTCACACCTCCAAATCCCACGCCACTGGCAAGGCTCAAACTGACATGGCCCGTCTCCAGGAAACTGTGCCCTCTGAAATCTCACAGTCACACCGCACCTTAGCCCTGGTGCTTCACTCTGCTGGTCCCTGCTGGGCCTCGGCTTCCTCATCTGTTACAATTCGAGGGCCAGACAGGATGGTGCCTTTGTCTGGGACACTGCTCTGAGCTCCAGGCCAGGCCTTCATGCAGAGGCCCTGCCCAGGACCCTGACAGCAACCTTGATCCTCCTCACTGTGCAGGGCCAGGGCCTCCAGCATATGCCAACTTGGGGCTACCACACTCCTGAAATTGAGATGCCAGCCGTCTCCATCTCACCCTAGACCCAACGGCATTCCCTGTGTAGACACAAACTCCTTCTGGGCCCAAGACTGCCCCCACCCCGCCCCCAGTGCCCGAGCCCAGAACTAGCCGGCAGCTCCCGGGGCTGGTCAGGCACCTGCAGGAAGTACGCGCTCATGGGGTCCTCTTTGTTGTCGTCGTTGTAGAAGAGGCCTCCAGCCACGAAGACCTGGTTCTCCTTGGTAACCAGGCTGACGTGGTTCTTGGGGACTTGGCTGGAGAGGGAGGCGCAGTAGCACTCGTTGGCTGCGGGGTCGTAGGCCACCGCGCCCTCCTCACTGACCATGAAGATGAGGTCCTGCAGGAACATGCCGAAGCGCAGGGTGTCGTTGAGGATCCCGGGTAGGATGCGCTCGTCCTCCTCGTCCTCTGGTTTGGCTTCGCCTGCGCCCTTCTCGGCCTCCTTGCCAGCGTCCCTCCCCTTCTTCTTCCTGCGCAGCGTGGTGAGGCGGCCCTCGTGCGCGTCCTTCACCATCTGCACCTTGCGCAGCAGCTCGGGCTGGGCGCGCACAAGGGGGTGGCGCTCCACGCGGCTCTCCAGGAAGGCGCGCGGCAGCAGGCGGCAGCGCACGCTCTCGAAGACGGTGGGCAGCGCGCGCTGGCGCTCCGCCTGCGCCTCGGCCTCGCCGCTGCCCGCCCAGCGCATGACCGCCTCGAACACCGCCTCCTCCTTCTCCACGTTCAGGCCGTCGCTGGAGATGATGGCGATGAGCTCATCGGCCGAGAGTCCCAGGAAGTCGGCGTCGCGCGCCACCAGCGTGAAGTGCGCGCAGATGAAATCGCGGGCGGCCACAGCCAGGCGCGCGCAGTCCAGCAGGAGCCCCAGGCGGAACACGGCCAGGCAGTTGGAGAGGCACAGGCGCTTCTGCAGGAAGGACACGCAGATGGTGAAGATGGACGGGATCTGGAAGCGGTGCGCCGCGGCGAACAGGTCCTGCACGCTGGCCTCGTCCAGCGCGATCTCCGACGTGTACAGGTAGTGCAGCACCTGGGCCACCACGTCCGCCGACACCTCCTCCAGCTGCAGCTCGCCCGCGCTCTCGGGCGCGGCCAGGAAGCGCGCGCGGAAGTAGGGGCTGCAGGCGGCCAGCACCAGGCGGTGGCACGGGAACTCGCGCTCGCCCGCGCGCACCACGCAGTCCAGGAACTTGCCGTGGTCCAGCATGTCCTTGAGCCCGTCCTGCAGGAGCGTCTGCTGGTACAGCCGCTGCTCCTCCGCCTGCTCCAAGCCCAGCGCCATGGTGGGGGCCTGGGTGGGGGGATGAAGGTGGGGGCCTAGGGTGGGCGGTGGGGCCGAGGGGCTCCTCTCTGCGCCCCTGCTTCCCTGCGAGGCTCGCTGGGACTGCGCAGCTGTCCTCGAAGGGCTATATATAGAGGTGGCCGGGCCCGGTAAGGCGAGCCGCCTGGCCTCCTGCACGTGACGCACAGGGGACAGCTGGGCAGAGGCCTCCTCCGGGAGAAGCCTTGGCTCAGCCCCGGGGCTCATGGGACGAGGTGGGGTGTCGGGCCCCTTTGAAAGATGAGGGCGTGGCTGCCTTATTTCTAAATGGAGCAAGGGGCTCCGGAGGCTTTGGTCAGGAGAGCCGCTGTGGGAGGGGGTGGCCCAAGCATTGGAGCCGGTCTTCCGGGGTCTCCCTCCGTTCCTGCTGCCTGGGTCCATCTGCCCTGGTGCCCCCGTCTCCCTCCCCGGAATGTACCTGACTTCAGCCCCCGGAGCCTTGGGTTTTCTGTCAGAACTTGGACATGGTGTTCGCTCTTTACTGGCCCCGTTGCCCTGCCTTTATTTTATTTTTTAGAGATGGAGTCTCGCTGTGTTGCTCAGGCTGGAGTGCAGTGTCTTGGTCTCAGCTCACTACAACCTCCGCCTTCCAGGTTCAAGCCATCCTCTGCCTCAGCCTCCCGAGTAGCTGGGACTACAGGGCCTGCCACCATGCCTGGCTAATTTTTTTGGTATTTTTAGTAGAGATGAGGTTTCACCATCTTGTCCAGGTTGGTCTTGAACTCCTGACCTCATGATCTACCCGCCTCAGCCTCCAATAGTGCTGGGATTACAGGTGTGAGCCACTGCACCCAGCGTATTTTTGTTTCTAAGAGGCAGGGTCTCAGGATGTTGCCCAGGCTGGACTTGAACTCCTGGGCCATCCTTCTGCCTCAGCCTCCCTAGTAGCTGGCACCACAGACATAAGACACCACTCACGTTGCCTCACCTTTAAAATGGGAAGAGCTTTGCCTCTTTCTGCCCCTGCTCGGAGACTCTCCTCCTTGCAAGAAAGCAGGAAGGTACCTTAGGTAAAGAACTTTCCTGGGCCGGGCGCGGTGGCTCACGCTTGTAATCCCAGCACTTTGGGAGGCCGAGGCGGGTGGATCACGAGGTCAAGAGATCGAGACCATCCTGGTCAACAAGGTGAAATCCCATCTCTACTAAAAATACAAAAAATTAGCTGGGCATGGTGGTGCGTGCCTGTAATCCCAGGTACTCAGGAGGCTGAGGCAGGAGAATTGCCTGAACCCAGGAGGCGGAGGTTGTGGTGAGCCGAGATCGTGCCATTGCACTCCAGCCTGGGTAACAAGAGCGAAACTCCGTCTCAAAAAAAAAAAGAACTTTCCTGTGGGGCCTGGGGCAGGGCAGGTCTCTTTGTTAAGCCTCAGTTTCCCTTCCTACACAATGAGGAGGTGGTGAAGTTAGACGCTAAGGGCCTCCGTTCAGCTGTGCTGGAGGTTCAGAAGCACCAGGTGCTGTGTTCCTGGGAGTACACCTTAGAGGGCTTTCACATTTCTAAGTGTCGGACGTGCTGGAAAATTAATTTCTTAGGCTTCTACTCCTCTAGGTATTTAAACCCCCAGGGTTTTAACATTCTAGGGGAGTGACATTCTGAATTCTAGTGTTTAAAAAGTAACACTGCAAGTTGAATGTTTCAGGACGTTAGTTGTCTGTACTGACTGTTCCCGGTGTGTGAGGCAAGGCCTGAGCTGTCTGGACATGGGCCCCTGCACCTTGTCTGTGGTCTGAGGGACCAGGCTTGAAGCCCGGGTTGACAGCCAGTCTCGATGCCTACCTTGTTCTGGACCCTTGACACCCTCCCGGTTCCCTTCCCCCCACCCCGACCCGTCACCAGACACACACACACATTAGCCTCAGTCACCAAGATTAGCTCGTTCCCAAAGTGCCAGAGTCTGCAGCTGTGAGTTAAATTTAGCCCCCAGGACACTGGGATGAACTATTATGAGGCACACCCCATCATTCCTCTGAGTCACTTGTTTATAACGTCAGGCCTGGGAGGTATAGGAGAAATGACAGCTGGCTGGGCTAGGACTGAGTCACCTCCCTTTTGTGATCTCAGCAATATCACTCTGTCCCTTTTTCTTTTTCTTTTTCTTTTTCTTCTTTTGAGACAGAATCTCTTTCTGTTGCCCAGGCTAGAGTGCGATGGCACAATCTTGGCTCACTGCAACCTCTGCTTCCCGGGTTCAAATGATTCCCCTGCCTCAGCTTCACCGGTAGCTGGGATTACAGGTGCCTGCCACCACGTTCAGCTAATCTTTTTTTCTTTAGTAGAGATGGGTGTTTTACTATGTTGGCCAGGCTGCTCTCAAACTTCTGATCTCAGGTGATCCGCCCGCCTTGGCCTCCCAAAGTGCTGGGATTACAGGCGTGAGCCACCGAGCCCGGCCTCCGTGCCTCTTAAATGGTGCAACTGACCGTCACTCGCTCACCCCACCAGCAGGTCCCAAAGGGACACAGCACCTGACAGGCTCTGGAGGTGGCCAGTCTCTGTTGCTGAAAAGACAAAGGTTAACTCAGACAGGGCAAGCGGTGGGCTTTCAGCCACTGAGGAGGCTCGGCTTGAGGGCTGGGCACCTTGGCCAAGTCACAGAGCGGGCGTGGGGCGGCGCCCGGATTGGAAGCAGATTTGCCCTCCTTCAAAGACGGTGGCAGCCCTTCCCTGCCTTGCCGCTTCCCAAGAATTAACAAAAATGTCATTAATCGTAGTCTCATTTCAAAGACCAGGACAGAAACTACTGACTGACCAATTAACTTAGATTTATCAAATGACTTGGTGAAATATGTTTAGATGATGATGGATCTCATAGCGCTCACTCTACCAAGCATTCCAGGAGAACGTGTGTACACGGCTCATTCATTCATCATCAAGAGCCAGCTGTGCGCTGCTTTAAATGCTGAAGAGTCAGCAATCAGCGGTCATGGAGCTTACATTCGTCAGGGGGTCGGGGCGAGGGTGGTGGGGGACACAGAAATACATAAACAGTTACTCAGGGCACTGGATGATGTCATGGCTGTGCAGACGAGGGCAACGGAAGGCGCGTGGGAAGTGGTAGGAAGAGGTGGGAACGACTCTAAACGGAGCAGTCAGGATGGACTCACCAAGAGGGTCACATCTGAGTCAAACCGAAGAGGATTCCCGGTGGGGGCGCAGCTGGAGCCAAGGTCCTGAGGCAGGAGAGTGCCTGGCATGTTCCTGGAACAGCTCGGAGAGCGATGACGGGGCTGGAGCAGTGAATGAGGGGGTGAGAGGAGGTGAGGGGAGAGGTAAGCGTGGGGGGTCACGTTCTGACCCGTGGGCCACCATCAGGACTCTGGTTTTCCTCTGAGTTGAAATGGAGAAACACTGTGTTATTTATTTATTTATTTTGAGATGGCGTCTCGCTCTGTCACCCAGGCTGGAGTGCAGTGGCGTGTTCTTGGCTCACTGCAACTTCTGCCTCCCAGGTTCAAGCGATTCTCCTGTCTCAGCCTCCCAAGTATCTGGGACTACAGGCACGCGCCAGCACGCCTGTCTAATTTTTGTATTTTTGGTAGAGATGGGGTTTCACCATATTGGCCAGGCTACTCTCCAATTTCTGACCTTGTGATCCACCCACCTTGGCCTCCTAAAGTGCTGGGACTACAGGCTTGAGCCATTGTGCTCGGCCTTATATTTTATGTAGATTTTTTGAGGCAGGGTCTTGCCCTGTTGCCCAGTCTGGAGTGCAGTGGTGTGATCACGACTCACTGCAGCCTTGACCTCCTGAGCTCAAGTGATCCTTCCACCTCAGTCTCCTCAGTGGCTGGGACTACAGACACCCCCCCACCACACCCAGCTAATTTCTAAAATTAGTTTGTGATGATGGGGTCTCACTGTGTTGCCCAGGCTGGTCTCGAACTCCTGGGCTCAAGGGATCCTCCCACCTTGGCCTCCCAAAGTGTTGGGATTACAGGTGTGAGCCACCATGCCTGGCCTCACTGTTTATTTTTTAATTATTATTGTGGAAAATACAAATATGTACAAAAGTAGAGAGGATAATATCCTGACCTCTCATGGACCCATCTTCCCACTTCGATAACTGTCAAGTCTTTGAGTCATGGCCAACCCTGTTTCATCTCTACCGCACCCACTCTATTAATCACCCCCGGGGTCCCTGGGGGTTGTATGTGGGTGTAGAAAAAGAGGGGAGAAAGGGTGACTCCAAGGCTTTTAGCTGAACCCAAGGGAAGATGTCATCTCATTTCATCCTTTTCATTTTTACTGATTTAATCACACCAAAATTATGAGGTAGGTATTATTTTTCCCATTTTACAGAAACTGAAATTTCGATGGCCAGCAAATGGGAAGCAGTCTAATATTTTAAAAACAGTTTTAATGAGGCATAAGTAGCATGTGATAAACCACACGTATTTAAAGTGTACAATTTGATAAGTTTTGACATATGTATATACACCCGTGAAACCCCCACACCACAATCAAGACAGGGACACACCTGTCACCCACGAACCCTTCCTCATCCCCTTTAAAATCTCTCCTCCATCTCTTCCCACACTCCCATCACTGATCTGCTGTCACTATGATTCATTTGCATTACCTGAAGTTTTACGTAAGAGGAATCATACAGGATGCACTCTTTTTTTTTTTTTCTTTTTTTTTTTGTCTGACATTGTTCACTCAGTGTAATTATTTTGAGCTTCATCTAGGCTGTCTACTCATATGTTTAGCTGGAAGCTCTGCCTTCATTAGGAATCTTAGCATATCACAGGGTCATTTAAGAGAAACACTAAGGGTACTGGGTGCTGTGGCTCACACCTGCAATCCCAGCACTTTGGGAGGCTAGGGCAGTGGGTGGATCACCTGAGGTCAGGAGTTCGAGACCAGTCACACCAATATGGTGAAACTCCATCTCTACTAAACTACAAAAATTAGCCGGACATGGTGGCATGCGCCTGTAGTCCCAGCTACTCAGGAGGCTGAGACAGGAGAATGACTTGAACTCAGGATATTTGGGTGGCAGGTATGTGTCACACTTGGTGGCCTTCCTGCATCTCCTACATAGTCTTCCTATGTTTTGAACAGTTCCCACATAAGTAGTACTTCTCTGTCGTAGAAACCAGAATTTATTTAAAATCCTAGCTTCCCCAGGAAAACAGACATGCCACTGAGCTCAGCCCATCGTACGCACCTGCCCCAGACTTCAGCTCCGATCAGGAAGCAGGAACATGCAGCCTCCATGTTTAGACGAAGACAGCTGATGGAAAGCAGGGTCGGAACTTCTGGAGTCCCCTCCCCACTGCCACGCACAGGCTGAGGGCTGTCCTGGTGGCTGTGGTTTGGCCGTCATCTGGCTGTGCAGCCCGCGATCCTGACTCGGGCGCTCCTGAAGGTTCTGTAATCCGTCTGATGCACACCGGCCATCTGCTGCCAGGAAGGCTGTGTGATGTCAAAACTCATTTCCGGAGTGTTCCGGCAACAGGTGCTCAAGGCGGAGCTGAAGCAGCCGAAGCATTTCGGAGGGCCTGCTGGCTTGCTCACTGACTTCCGGGTGAAAGATGGCCTTCCATGCAAGGAGTCCAAATGCGGCAGACGCTCTTCTGTGACATAAACGGACCCAAAGACGGGAGCCCCGAATGCTGGAGTGGATACGTCAAGCATGTCCCCCGTCCGCCCTGTGCCTGCTGAGGGCTGAGAGGACGCCTCGCCCATCATTGAGGACCTTGTTGGTGAGGAACGCCGGCGACTTTGCCCTGTCAAGGGTGTGAGTGGGAGCCTTTGCCTTTGAAGTGGCCCCCCGCTTTCAGGGAGGATAACGGGATCTTAGGGTTGACAGCGGCCACGTAATGGCTCATAAGCACCAAAGGCAAAATGGGCACGGTCACTGCAGTAAGCAGTAGGGCTGGAGTGGTGGTAATCAGCTGGTCTGACCTACAGGGATCCTTGGGACTAATGAATTGTGGATTTCCTAGGAGCTGAAATAGATCATTTTTCTAACGCGTTACTGATATGTTTTCTGAATCTGGATTTGCCTTCCCAGCCTGCAACATTTCTGCTGCTCCCTCCAGCCACAGACTTCATCCCTCACTCATTTTCATGGAACCAAATTCAGCCCTGCTTCTGATCCAAGATCTCATTTTGTAGCAAGAGAAGTGAGGCAAGCCTTCCAGTTAATGATGGCAGATAAAATACATGCTTTTTTTTTTTTTTTTTTTGCTTCCTTTTGAATGCTTACTACAACTGAAATAGAAGGTTAAGAGAAGTAAAATATGTAGCGTAAACTCCCAGGAACATGGTATTCAGCGTACTCTGCAGGGACCCAGCAGCACAGCCGCAGACTCTGGAAAGCAGGCGACGTGTGATGAGCAGCGTGGCCATCCTGACTCTGGGTCTGCGATGAGAAGGCCAGACCCAACTCTTCTATACCTCAGCATCCACAGAGAAGGCCCAGAATTGGCAGCACCAGGTACCTTTAAACATACAGGAGAATCAACCACCACCTGGTAAAAGTCAGAGGTTTCATTTCCAAAGAAGGTAAACCAGCGGTCTTGACTAAGACACTCAGCAGAGGAAAAGGCAGTGGTGCAGTGTGAGCCCTGGGCAATGAGGAGCAGCTCCATATTCTCCATGGGAAACCCTACTCCCACTCAGCTCCCAGAAAGCTGGCAGGTCAGCTATGACCTCCAAACAGGGAATTGAAATTGGGGGATCTGATAGCCCAGGAGAAAAAAAAAAGATATGAATGAGCTGAAGCACCTCGAATTAACGAGGTGCTTCACACATGCTGAGTTTCCAATGAGCTTTTTGATGGAAATGGTGTGGCTGTGTCCCCACCCAAATCTCAGCTTGAATTGCGGCTCCCACAATTCCCACACATCATGAGAGGGGCCCGGTGGGAGGGGACTGAATCATGGGGGCGGGCTTCTCCCTTGTGGTTCTCATGATAGTGAGTCTCACGAGACCTGTGGTTTTGGAGAGGAGTTTTCCTGCACAAGCTCTTCGCCTGGGCCATCCACGGAAGATGTGCCTTCACCCCTCCTTGCTCTCCATCCCAATGGTGAGGCCTCCCCAGCCATGTGGAACTGTGAGTCTGTTAAACTTCTTTCCTTTCTGAGTTCCCCAGTCTCAGGTATGTCTTTATCAGCAGGATGAAAACAGACTCCTACAGCGATCTACTTTTTTAAAGGCTTGAAAATACGCCTTCTGGTCTGGACAAAATGGTGTGAGCTTGTTTCTCCCCGCTCCTGCCTGTCAAGTACAGCTATAAACTGTGAAAACAATGCAAGAGGCAATGAGAGGATAACTCTGAAAGCTGGCAAGGGAATTATGCGTTCGTTCGGGACCCCGAGAATAAAGGAACAACTCAGTGGCAGGGTATCTTCCAGTCAATGGAAGACGACGACCCAGGCCTGGCGTGTCCTGACCCCCAACCTGTCAACAGAAGGCAGCCAAAGCAGGCTCAGCGCTCTCACAATTTGAAGAGGGGTCCCTCTGACAACTCCCCAGGAGCCCAGCAGCACGGGAGGAGAGATTACTCAGGTGCCCAACGAGCAACAAGCAGCTGAGGATGCCCTCTCCTTTCACAGTGGACCTGAAACTCACCTCCCCTGCCAAGGGGTGCTGGGCAGCCTGACCTGGGAACACCCCTTGGGCCCTCTCAGGCAGCACCAGCAGGAGCTCCAGCAGCACCAAAGAAACCAGGTATGAAAAGAACACCACAAAGGCTCTGAACATCAAATTGTCATTGGAACCTCAGCCCTCAGACCAGGAACTGCGTGGTGAATGTGAACAAGGTGACTGAGGTTGCAACCAAGGAACTAAGTGGGACCAGAGTCTCCTGACATGATAGCCAGAGTATCCAGGGGACAGCTGAGACTCACCTGTCACACCAACAACGAGGAACATCACAACCTGAATGCAAAAAGAATCAACTGGCACCAACGCAGAGACCGACTGGTTGTTAGAATTACCTGGCAAGGATTTTAAGCGGCCATCATGATAACGCTTTAACAATTGCACATTTTATTGGAACTAATAAAAAAAAATCAGCAAAAAAAGAAGTTATATAGAAGAACCAAATGAAAATTCTAGAACTGAAAAATATAACCACAGGAATAAAAGCCTACTGGGTAGCCTCAGGAGGAAAGGGGAGACGATGGAAGATAAATCAGTGCTTGATTGAGGACAGATAATAGAGTTTACCCACTCTGAACAACAGAGAGATAATATAGTGGGAAGAAATTGTGTGTGTGCGCATGTGTGTGCGTGCGTGCGTGTGTGTGTGTGTGCGTGTGTGTTGTGTATGAGAGAGAGAGTGTGTGTCAGTCTCAGGGACCTATAGGACAATAACGAAAAATCAACATTTGTATCACTGCATATCATTGCAGTCTCAGAAGGAGAAGAGAAAGAATGAGGTTGAGAGAATAACTAAAGTAATAATGACTGAAGACTTCCAAAATTTGGTGAAGACACAAACCAGCACATTCAAGAAGCTGAGAAAACCCCAAACAAAATAAACCCAAAGAAATCCATGTCAGGACACATCATAAACTTTTGCAAATTAAAGACAAAAAGGAATCTCAAAAGCAGCCACAGAGAAACAGCACATCACCTGTAGTTGAATGCCAATTCAAGTGACAGTGAATTTATCATCTAAACTATGGAGGCCATTTGGGAGGCTGAAGTGAGCGGATAACTTGAGATCAGGAGTTCAAGACCAGCCTAGCCAATATGGTGAAACCCCGTCTCTTAAAAATACAAAAATTAGCCAGGTGTGGTGGTGTGCACCTGTAGTCCCAGCTACTTGGGATGCAGAGGCAGGAGAATCGCTTAAACCCAGGAGGTGGAGGTTGCAGTGAGCCGAGATCATGTCAGTGCACTCCAGCCTGGGTGACAGCACTCACTGGACACAGCGACTCCATCTCTAAAAAAAGCAAAACTATGGAGGCCAGAAGGAAGTGATACAACATATTTCAAGTGCTGATGGTACCATCAGCTGTGAATTTTATATCCAATTAAACTATAAGTCAGGAATGAAGGGGAAGTAATCTCAGGAAATTCCCACAAAAAGCTTACAGGAACTAATAAATGAGTTCAGCAAAATTGGAGGCTGTAAGATCAACACACAAACATTAATTGCATTTCTGTTTACTAACAATGAATGTGTAGAAGCTGAAATTTAAAACTTAATACCATGCACAGTCACTCAAAAGAAAATGACATATTTAGGCAAAACACATACAGGATATGAATGCCAAAAACTGCAAAATGCTGATTAAAGAAGTAATGGAAGAGCTAAATAAGTGGAGACACTGTGTTCACGGATTGGGAGACTTGACCTCGTAAAGGTGTTACTTCTCCCCAAATGGAACTAGAGGTTTTATTCAATGCCTATCAAAATTCCAGCAAAGTTTTTAATAGATTTAGACAAGTTTATTCTAAAGTTTATATGGAAAGTTACAGACCCTCGAATAGTTGGAATAATCTTGACCAAGGAGAATAAAGTGGGAGGAATCACTCTCCTGATACTGTCTTCCTGTACAGCTACAGTAGTCAGGATCATAGGGTATTGGCAGAGGCATAAACATACAGATCAATAGACCCGAACAGAAAACGCGGAAATACATTCAAATAGGTGCACCCAATTTTTGACAAAGATGCAAAAGCAATTCAATGGAGGAAGGATAGACTTTTCAACAAATAGAGCTAGAGCAATTAGGCATCCATGGGGGGAAAAATAAGCTCAACCTAATCTCACACCTTATACAAAAATTAACTCAAAATAGATTGTCGATTTAAGATGGACACCTTAATCGACATCTAAAATGACCTTGAGTCAGGTGTGGTGGCTTGTGCCTGCAGGCGCAACCACTCGGGAGGCTGAGACAGGAGGAGGATTGCTTGAACCCAGGAGTTCTGGGCTGTAGTGTGCAGCGCTGATTGGGTGTCCACACTAAGTTCAGCATCAATATGGTGACCTCCTGGAAGTGGGAGACCACCAAGTTGCCTAATGAGAAGTAAACCAACCCAGGTTGCAAACGGAGCAGGTCAAAACTCCCATGCTGATCAGCAGTAGGATTGTGAACAGCCTGTGAATAGCCACTATCTTCCAGCCTGGGCAACACAGCAAGACTCTTGTCTCAAAAAAAAAGATCTTGAAAAATAAGAAAGTTAATGTTCTCACACTTCCTGAATTCAAAACTTACTACAAAGTTACAATAAGCAAAACAGTGTGGCACTCGCATGAAAGTAGATATATAGACAGTGATAGTTAATTTTAGGTGTCAGTTTGACTGGACTAATGGATGTCCAGATATCTGGACTAATGGATGTCCAGATATCTGATAGAACATTATTTCCAGTTTGTCTGTGAGGGTGTCTCTGGAATAGATGAGCATTTCAATCAGTTGTGCATTGTTGGTGGGAATGTAAAATGGTAGAGCTGCTGTGGAAAACAGTATGGCAGTTCCTCAAAAAATTAATAATTAAATTACCATATGATCTAGCAATTTTACATTTGAGTATATACCCCAAAAAATTGAAAACAGGGTCTTGAAGAGATATTGATAACCCCATGTTCATAGCAGCATTATTTGCAATTCCCAAAAGGTAGAAGCAACCCAGGTGTCCACTGATGAATTAATTAATAAGCCAAATGTGGTGTAGACGTGCAATAGACTATACATACAATGTGGTGTAGACATACCATAGACTATTAGCTTTAAAGAGGGAGGAAATTCTGACAGATGCTGCAACATGGATGGGGTGCAAGGAGGTGATGCTGAACGAAATCAGCCAGTCAAAAAAGACAAAGATCGTATCACTCCATGTACATGTTAAAGGTACAGAGACAGAAAGCATGGCAGTTGCTAAGAGCAGGGGCGAGAGCGAGCAGGGAGCTCCAGTTCAGTAGGTACAGAGTTTCAGTTTGGAATGATCAGAAGACTTCTGTGGACAGATGGTGGTGAGGGCTGCACAGAGTCGGAATGTACTTAGTGCCACTGAACTGTACATTTAGACATGTCTAAATGTTAAGAAAGTAAATTTTATGTTATGTGTATTTTACCTTAATATATATTTTTTGAGATGGAGTCTTGCTCTGTCGCCAGACTGGAGTGCAGTGGCGTAATCTTGGCTCACTGCAACCTCTGCTTCCCAGTTCAAGGGATTCCCCTGCCTCAGCCTCCTGAGTAGCTGAGACTCCAGGCACATGTCGCCACGCCCAGCTAATTTTTGTATTTTTAGTAGAGACGGGGTTTCACCCTGTTAGCCAGGCTGGTATCAATCTCCTGACGTCGTGATCCACCTGCCTTGGCCTCCCAAAGTGCTGGGATCACAGGCATGAGTCACCACGCCCGGCCTCATAATTTTTTAAAAAAGAACCCAGAGACCCTTGGCAATCTCAGTGCTGGACTTGACTCAGAGAATAAGTAATTGAGCATCTTATAAAAAGATGTAAAACCAAAGTATAAAACTTCTAGAAAAAAAACCAGGAGAATATTTTGGCATTTAGAGCTATGGAATAAGTTTTTACACTTAACACCAAAAACATGATACATAAAAGGAAAATGTGATCATCTAGATCTTACCAAAATAAAAATCTTTTGCTCAGCAAAACCTCATGTGAAGAGAATGAAAAGACAAGCCACAGATTGGGAAAAATATTTGCAATATGTAGACACAAAGAATTCTCAAAATCCTATAACATACAAACGATCGAATGAGGAAATAGGCAAAAGGCAGGAAGCAATGTGGGGGTGATTTGATGAAAGGGCATTCAGTATCATTAGTCATCAGGGAAATACAAATGAAAAGCAAGGGAGAGATCACTACACACCTCTCAGAGTTGCTAAGATTTAAAAAATAATGATGGCACCAAAATACTTGTGAGTATGCAGAGAACCTGGTTCACTCACGTTGCTACTGGGAAGGTGAAATAGTGCAGTCACCGTAGAAGACACGTTGGCAGCTTCTTAAAAAACGGAACATGCAACCATACCATAGGACCTAGCAACTGCCCTCTTGGGCACGTATCCCAGAAGAATGAAAACTTCCGTTCACAAATAACCCAAACATGAATGCTCATAGCAGTTACATTTGTAAGACTGAAAAAGTAGAAACAGCCCTGCTCTGGGGAGGGATAACATGAGGAGAAATACTAGATCTAGGTGACGGGGATGGAGGCAGCAAACCACACTGCCATGCGTGTACCTATGCAACAATCCTGCATGTCCCGCACATGTACCCCAGAACCTAAAGTGCAATTTAAAAAATAATTTTATATATATATATATATATAGACCCTTTGCCCATGGAAGTGGAACAGTGCTGTTTATGTATTTTATATATATATAATATATATATTTGTTATATATTTATATATTATATATAATATATGTTATATATAATATATAAATATATTATCTATATATAAAATATATATATTTATATAATATTTTATATATAATATATAATACGTAAACAGCCCTGCTCCAATATATGTTATACATAAAGAAACAGCCCTGCTCCACTTCCATGGGCAGATGGTTGAACAAGCCAGTACACACCAGCTATGGAACACGACTCAGCAAAAACAAAACCAAAAAAGACTGAACTCTTGGTACACGCAATGACTTGGATCAGTCTTCAGGGAATTGGACCGAGTGAGAACAAAGACTGGCCCTTACCAGCCATATGTCTATGAACATTCTGTTACGACCACCTTGGTCATCTCTAAGAAGACTGAGGCTTTCTTTACAGCTCTCTTCTGAGCCCTCACCAGAATAGCGTTCATAGTCTGTTCATGACAATACGGGGATTTTTTCCTAGCCTGTTCCTCCAAACTCAGCTCTGCCCAGCTCCAAAAACCTGCTTTCACTTTTTTTTTTTTTTAGACAGTCTTGCTCTGTCGCCAGACTGGAGCGCAGTGGCACAATCTTGGCTCACTGCAACCTCTGCCTCCCAGTTCAAGGAATTCCCCTGCCTCAGCCTCATGAGTAGCTGAGACAGACACACGCCACCATGCCCAGCTAATTTTTTGTATTTTAGTAGAGACAGGGTTTCGCCATGTTTGCAAGGATGGTCTCGGTCTCCGGACCTCATGATAACCACCTGCCTTGGCCTCCGAAGGTGCTGGGATTATAGGGCTGAGCCATCACGCCCAGCTGCTGCTCTCACATTTAAAAATATTTGTTATAAGCCGGGCGTGGTGGCTCAAGCCTGTAATCCCAGCACTTTGGGAGGCTGAGGCGGGTGGATCACGAGGTCGAGAGATCGAGACCATCCTGGTCAACATGGTGAAACCCTGTCTCTACTAAAAATACAAAAAACTAGCTGGGCGTGGTGGTGCGTGCCTGTAATCCCAGCTACTTAGGAGGCTGAGGCAGGAGAATTGCCTGAGCCCAGGAGGCGGAGGTTGCAGTGAGCCGAGATCGCGCCATTGCACTCCAGCCTGGGTAACAAGAGCGAAACTCCGTCTCAAAAAAAAAAAAAAAAAAAAAAAAAAAAAAAAAAAAAATATTTGTTATAGAAACATTCCCACTTGGTACCAATTTCTGTCTTAGTCTGTTCAGTCTGCTGTAACAAAATACCTTTAACTGGGTAATTTATAAACAATATAAATATATTGCTCACCGTTCTGAAAGCTGAGAGTCCAGGGTCAAGGCACCAGGAGCTTCGGGGTCTGGTGAGAGCTCTGTCTTCTTCACAGACGGCACCTTCTGTCACCTGCTTATGGCAGAAGGAGCCAAGTCAGTGTCCTGCATGGTGAAAGGTCAAGGTAGCTCCCTTCCACCTCTTCTGTAAGGGCCAGTAATCCCATTCATGAGGCAGAGCTTCCTGACTCAATCACTTCCCAGAAAACCCCACCTCTTAATACTGTGACATTGTGTTTTAGGGTCTAACAGGTGAATCTGGGGGTCGGTGGGGGGACAGCAGCATTCAGACAGTAACACCATCTTGACCTCATGACCCGTGGCTAAGTAGGGTGGAATATCTTTCTGTCTTGCCTTCCTTGATACGTCAGGGTTCTGCAGAGAAACAGAATCAATAGAATAAAGAGACAGACGAGGGGGTGTATCATGGGCATTGGCTCATGTCATTATGGAGGCCAGGAAGTTCCACAGTCTGTCCTCGCAGGTTGGAGACCCAGGAAAGCTGCTGATGTCATTGCGTTTGAATCTGAAGGCGTGAGATCAAGAGAACATAATGGTGTGACTCCCAGTCCAAGGCCAAACGCGGGGAAACCTGGAGTCCTGAAGTCTTCGTGCAGGAGGCGAGGCGTGTCCTGGCCCCAGAACTCACCTTTTCTCTGCGTGCTCATCTCATCCAGGCCTCCACAGATTGGAAGGGGCCCACTCACACCAGACGAGGGTGGGTCATCCTTAGTCGACTGATTCAAATGCTCATCTTTTCCCAAAACACCCTCGTAGACACACCCAGAAGTCACGCTTTTCCAGCTCTGGGTGTCCCTTGTCCCTGCACTGTTACCAGCACACCTGAAACTGACCATCACACTGGAAAAGGTGAAGCGTATATGTCGATTTCTTTCTCCTCTCAGCCCCCTTCTGTTTTATCAAGAGCCTGTGTAGAGTCCACACATTCAGGGACTGGATGGGACCGCCAGGGGAGCAGCTGTCACCAGCAGATACTGGCTTTGGAGACCCTGGCTTCAGATGCCGTCAGCAATGTGAAGTTACAGCGTCCCCTTTTGGGAAGAGAATGAGTCCGTTTTCATTTGTAGGAGGAAGGTGGATGGGGAGCATTTTGTTGCTCCTGCTGTGTGGAAGAGGGCGGAGCTGCTGCTGGGCTGTGAGAGGCCAGACTGCGGGGATGCCTGTTGTGCAAAGGCTTTTCCTGATTGGAAATAAGTGAAGGGTCCGTTCCACCCACCCAACGTAGAGAACACAACCTGCTTCCCCAGCCTCCCTTGCAGCTAGTGAGATAGGAGGTGGGGCTCAACTCTGGAGGCAGGACTTGCACACCAGACCTAATGAGGACCAGCTAAAACGGGTGGGGAGCAAGAGGCAGCGTTCCCTAAGACACACCACAAGTGTGCCATGCCAACACCTGAAAGACACTGCCCCTTTCAATGGAAGGTACCAACCTCCTCCTAGAAATTTCTGCATCATCCCCTCCTTAATTTGCATGTGAGTAAAAGTGGGTATGAGTGCAGCCCTGCCTCCAAGCTGCCGTTCTGGGCACCCTGCCTATGGGGTGGTCCTGCCGTGGGGTGGCCCTGCTGTGGGTGGCCGTGGGGTGGCCCTGCTGTGGGTGGCCGTGGGGTGGACCTGCCGTGGGGTGGCCCTGCCATGGGGTGGCCCTGCCGTGGGGTGGCCCTGCTCCTCAGGAGCATACCTCTGCTGCTGCTGTACACTGCCACTTCAATAAAAGTCGCTAACACCTCCAGCTCAGCCTTGAATTCTTTCCTGGGTGAAGCCAAAGCCCTACCTGCCTAAACCCCAATCCTGGGACTCGCCTGTCCTGCGCCACTAGGGCACAGATGTGACGGATCTGCCACTTAGACACACCCACATGAGACTGACTCTGGTGCGAGGGAAGCAGAAAACATACTGCCCAGACGTGCTCTCTGAGGGCGGCCGGGAGCTTAGCTTTGGAGGGAGAGGCAGTCGAGACAGAGCTTCTCATGAGCAGCTTCAGCACTGTGAGCTCCGAGCTGGGTGGCAGTCACGCCTCCCCGGGTACATGGTGCAGTGCGGTTTGGGTTTGGTTTTGACTGCATGACCCCAGAGGTTGAGTCTCTGGTTCTCCTAGAGATTTAATTGGCTCCGCTGTTTGCAACCAGTAGCCCGGGTCCACCGCCCACTGCCATGCGCTCCTGAGTGCCACTGTGCACCAAGTGCTGTGCAGAGTGGAGGGGACACAGCTTAGAGAACGTGGCTTGGGATCGGACACACTTAGGTTTGAATGTGGCTCTACTGCTTTCTGGCTGTGTGTGCAAGTGGCTTTACCTCTCTGAGCTCCTTTGTTTAGGTTATTCAGCAGCCTCAGAAGCTTATGGGGTGAGGAGCGACCACAGAGTGTCCTTAGCTCATGACAGTTACAGTGTTAGGTCACAGCTCCACAGGTGCGCAGGGTAGGTTTGGCCACAGGCATTTCCAGAGTCGCTGGCTGGAGACAGGCAGGAGTGGGGGGAAGTTCAAGGAGGGGTCCTGCTGAACTGCTTTTCCTTCCCTGGAGGTGTGGGATTCCATCCTCTTCCCTGCTCTCCACAGGTCCCAAGGCTGTCATCTGTTGTGACAGAGGTTCATCCCACCTGCAGCCAGTGGAACCTTAGGAGACACTCCTCCTCTATTTTGTTGCTGACCCTCCAGAGAGTTTAGAAAGCAGCTCTGCAGGCTGGCTATCTCTCAACCTGACCTCTGGAGTCCACAAGGTCCAAGTGTAGGAGAGGCTCTGGCTACTCACCAATGTTTTTTTTTTTTTTTTTTTTTTTTTGCTTTGAGACAGAATCTTGCTGTGTCACTCAGGCTGGAGTGCAGTGGCATGATCTCAGCTCACTGCAACCTCTGCTTCCCACTTTCAAACGATCCTCCTGCCTCAGCCTCCTGAGTAGCTGAGATTACAGGTGCATGCCACCAGGCCTGGGTTTTTTTTTTTTTTTTTGGTATAGATGGGATTTCACCATATTGGCCAGGCTGGTCTTGACTTCAACTGATCCACCCGCCTTGGCCTCCCAAAGTGCTGGGGTTACAGGCGTGAGCCACTGTGCCTGGCGGCTACTCACCAATCTTTCCTGCTCTCCTCTCCTTCTGGCCACACAAGAGGGTTGTGTGTCCACACCCGCCGGAAGTAAGGCATGATGGCAGAACTTGCTTTCGGTGAGGACACAGAAAGCAGCGATATGCCACTTCTGCGCGGTAGCACTGCAGAGCCAAGGTGCGGTTCTCCACCCATCTTTTCCCTGGCTCTGGTCAGTCTGGAGGCCCATGTGGCTGTGGAAGTGCCCCAAGGTCAAAGCCTGAAATTCTGGGCCACCACATGGAGGATGACTGCCCTGAAGCATTCCCCCAGAGACACAGACGCTGAGTCACCGAGGTCAGGAGGTGGTTTTTATTGTAGCAGAACTCAGCCAACCCTGACTTACTCACAGTCCTGGTTCTAGAAAGCGACATCATCGAGGGTAGGTAGGCCCGAGAGCGCCGCTAAGCCAGCGTGCCTCACTTCCTCTCACTGACCCTTCAGTAGGAAGGAAACTCGGCCTCACTTCCTCTCACTGACCCTTCAGCAGGAAGGAAACTGCCTCACTTCCTATCACTGACCCTTCAGCAGGAAGGAAACTCGGCCTCACTTCCTCTCACTGACCTTTCGGCAGGAAGGAAACTCTGCCTCACTTCCTCTCACTGACCCTGCAGCAGGAAGGAAAGTCTGGCTTTCCCCAGCAGGGCAGTGCTGCTCTGACCTACGCGTGCTTCAGGACATGAGATGTTAGTGAGCTGCTTGGTCCCAAAGAGCAGGATCAGGGAAAGTGAGTGCTCTAGAGATGCTAATCATGGTGCCCATCATCTCACAGCTACCCGGAGGCTTCTGCCCCAGAGCCGAGGATGACAGTGCCCAAGACTCTGGAGTGTGAAGGTGGAAATGCTGTGAGAATGGGGAGGTGGGGGGTGGCTGGAGGAAAAAGGGGGTCACGCGACCTGATACAGCCGGAGTGGAACAGGACGGAATCTGCACAAGAGCTGGGGGAGCAGCCAGGCCCCCGGCCCCTCATCCAGCCTGCTTCAGGCTGTGTCGAGCAAGTCTGTGCTTCTTCCAGTTACACAGTTGGACTGTGCAGAAAGGCAGTGCCAACATCCTAGGAACCCGCACCTCCTTTCTGGCCAGTCAACAAATCCGCCCATGAGACTTCTTTCCCGACCGCTCCCAGTCCTGGGAGGTCCCGTCTGACCCCTCTCTACATACGCAAAGGTATGTGCCACAAGGAGCCTCATTCTGCACGTGTCCCAGGGCCTGGAATTCTGTGTGGCATGGAGTGAGTGCTCTTTGTATATACTACTTGTGCCATAAAATAATTCTCAGAGTTCCCCAGGGAGAGCCATCTGCTCCTCTGGAGGCCACCACCTGTCTTCCATCTGCGCTTTTGTCTTCCCAGGTGCCTGAGTCAGCTTCTCTATTATCGGGCCCCTTCTGACCTCCCCTGCCTGCCGAGGGAGGGATGAGTCCATGCTGCTCATCACAGCATCCCCAGCGGGTCAGCACAGGAATGGGAGGGCTGGTCCCTGCTGTCCTGGAGCTCCCGTGACTCCACGCCTGGGGCTCATGGGAAACGCACCTGCACTCACCCACAGCAGCCCCAGGACCTCTCTTCTTTCATGCCCTCTGCATCTGACCCAAGACCCCCCTATTTGCACACCTCCATCCCCCCCACCGACTGCCCTTGCCTCAGCTCCTGACTCTGCGTGGTCCCCAAGGCCCCGCTCCTTGCTCTGGTCCAAGAGACAACGGAGGCCAAGTGCAAATAACAGCCTGGGCAAGGACACGAGCTGTACTGACTTTTATTCCCCTTGGCTCTTCTCACTCGCGTGCCTCGATGCCCACACTCCAGGGCTGTGGGCCGCCTGCACACGACCAGATGTCAATGGTCTCAGCACACGCCTGGGCACAGCCATTCTGCCACCAAACCCTCTGTGAAGGGCACCGGGGAGACTGTGGGAGCATGAGGGGTCGAAGGCTCCCAGAACTGTGACCACAAGGCTCGAGTTCATCACTCTTGCCACCCATCCCCAGCTGGCCTGAGACCAGAGAGCCCCAAGGAGGTGGGGAGGGGGCAAGCCCAGGATTCAGACATGAGTTCTGGCCAAACAGGCCGAGAAGTCCAAATGGGCTGTGGGACCCCCCAGTCTCCTTGAGAGGGGATGATCCTGTGTTCCCCTTCTCCCAGTCCTGGGAAGTGGGGATGGTGCCCCAGTCCCCTCATTCTGACATCTGGGGGCACACTGCTTAAAATAAAAAGGAGATATAAAAGCTGGAAAACAGGAACCCCTATCCATACCGGCACTGCTGAGGTGCCATTATTGCTTCTGGCCTTGTGGTCTGGCCGGAAAGGAACCCCCACCAGCAACCACCCGAGTGAAGAGTGTTTAGCACCAGGGACGCAGGCTCCTACCCCAGTGGGACAGGGGTCTCCCAGGAGAGGGGCTGGTTGTGCCCACCTGGAGCTCCCGTGACCATCTTGACCAGTCCCTGGCCAGCTGTCTGAACCCCTCACCTGCTGCCAGAGGGGAAGTGTACAGGAACAGGAAACCCGAGTCCCGGGGCAGGGTTTCACTGCCAGCTGCCCACACCTGTCTCTGACCTCTGCTTGTCAGTATGGCCCGACAGGTCTCAGCCTGGCCAGGGACACTCAGGCCCGCTCAGGCTGTAGTGGGGCCAGGAGGTGATGACGCCACCAGCCCCTATGGGAGACCTTGGTGCCAGTGACGGGGGCTGGAAATCCATGGAGGTTCCTGCCTACAGCCCACTGGGAGATCAACTTTTTTTGGAAAAATGTGAGCCAGCTCCGAAGAGCTGCCAGGCACTGGGACCAGAGGTTAGAAACAACGGGAGGGAGGGGACCCTGAGGACATCACGGAAACCCAGAGATCAAGGAGTGCAAGGAAGAAAAAGAGCTACAGCGATGCAGCGGCCTGGCGTGCACAGCCTCGGGCGGGGACCTGACCGGAAGCCTTCCTCCTCAGGGACAGCGGGGGCCGAGCCTAAGGCTACAGCCCCAACACCAATTGGGCAGGGAAGCTGCTGGCACTGTCCCCTCCAAGCCCAGAGAACAACCAGGGTGCTGTGGCTTGGATTATAAATCCTCAGATCACTCGGGCACCTTGGGCCTGCCCAAATCTGTACAGAATAAAGTGCTTCGTTTATTGATGATTAAAATGTCCCCAGCTCCCTGCCCCAGCGCCATGGGCCTCACAAGGTCAGAGGTCAGTCCCCTAACCATTCCCCCGGGGCCCAAGCCTCTTCCCACTCCAGCCATGCTGGGAAGGCAATAGTGTCGGGAGTGGTGGGGGATTAAGGTGCAAAGAGTATAACAAACAAAACTGATAAACACAATAGGGAAGAGCTTAACTAGGAACATGTAGCTTATGGAACCTTCCTCCCCATATTAAAGGCAGGAATAAAGACGTTAAATGACAACAAAAAAGGGGTTCCTATTAGTGCTAGCCTCATGGGGGCAAGCAATGGGTCTAGGCTGCGCCTCCCAGTCCCCCCGGCCCCCAAGGGCCTGAACATGCAGGCTCCCCTACCGGCAGCGTCACGGGCGCCCCACCCACCAGTGCAGAGGCCCAGGAGGGGCGAGGATGCTGGAGCCAGCCAGGGACAGGCTGCGGCAGGACCTAGAGCGGCCTTTGGGGAGCAGAGACAGACACAGCCACACTAGTTCCTTCTGGTGTGGGATATACGGCCAGGGCAGCTGGTGAGGAACTGGGGTGCTCTGTGAGCAGCCGCCCTGCCCCTGCCTCCCTAATAGCACCTTGAAACCAACACCGTCCAAGCCTCCTCCCAGGACTCTGCCCCCAGAGCCGGTGCCAGCCAGCCTGTCTGCCCACCCAGGGCCTGGCGAGCAGTGCTGAGGCGCAGCCGCTTCTGGGACATCGCCGGGACTCGGGGCCCTTGGTGCCACCTGGTGCGAGTCAGGGATCCCTGGGCCTGCAGGCAGGGGGTGGGTGGAGAGGGCAAGTCCTGGGGTCCAGCCCCTGCCTGCCCCGCTCCGCAGCCTCCAAACCCCACACGCCGCCTCGTGCTTGCGGCCCTCAGACTGGGTCCGCAACTCCTCAAGAGCTGGGGGGCTGGCGCAGCGCCTCCTCCCCAAACCCTCCAAGAAGAGGAAGCAAATTCGGGGCACGGGGGACACGGGAATAGGCCGCGGAGGCCGACCCTCCGGCTCGGGCCCCGGCATCGGGACGGGCACCCCTGCCGCCCAGGCCCCTCTCTCTCCGCTGCGCGCCCCCGGCACCCCCTCGCCTGCAGGAAGGTGCTGCGAACGGTTTCCTTCCTTCACCTCCAGAAAAAAAGAAAAGACGGTCAAGGCTTGAAGGAGTCACAGGAAGGAGGGCGCCCGGGCGGGCGGGGCCCTCCAGCAGCTCCGGCCCGCACGGCCCCCACGGCCCCAACGGCCAGGGCCCCGGCTCCCGGGAAGGCAGCGCCGCCCCACCGTCCGGCCCCGACTCCGGGCCCTGCGCGGATGCTCCGCGGCTAGTTGCTGGCGCCCATCCTCCCGCCCGGGCTGGCGGCGGCGGGGAAGAGCGGGGGCGGCGGCGGCAAGCGCGGGGGCGGGGGCGGGCCCGCGAGCAGGGACAGCGCGTGCGCCGGGGGCGGGGCGGGCGCCGCGGGGGCGACGTCACCGGGCGGTGCCTGGCTGACCCGGAAGCACTTCTCCTTGTGCGCCTTGAGCATGTTGGAGAACCGGAAGCGCTGGCCGCACACGTCGCACGGGTATGGCTTCTCGCCTGTGTGTGTGCGCCGGTGCCGCTTCATGTTGGGCCGGCTGGTGAAGCTCTTGCCGCAGATCTCGCAGATGTAGGGCTTCTCTCCTGGGGGCCGGGGTGGGCGGCAGGGGTCAGCGAGGGGCCGCCGCAGCCCGGCCTGGGCCAGCCTCGTCTCCCACGGCGCGCGCTCCGCTCCTCCCGCCCCGGGCACCGCGTGCCAGCCTCGCCCGATCCTGGGAAGGGTGGGCAGACGGAGGCGCGGCCTCGAGGAGGGCTGCGGCCGGCCGCCCCGGCCCCGCACCTGTGTGGGTCTTCATGTGCTCGTCGAAGTACTGCTTCATGTTGAAGTCCTTGCCGCACCACTGGCACATGAACTGCTTGTGGCCGATGTGGATGCTCATGTGTGACCGCAGCTGGTACTTGTACTGGAAGCGCTCATTGCAGTTCTGGGGGTGGGGTGTGGGGTGAGGCCCAGGCGCAGGGCAGAAGAGCAGCCTTTGCGGAGGGAGCAGCTCCCCTGTGGCCAGTAAGGGGCTCCTGGGCAAGGAGGTGCTTGCCGAGGCGCGTCTGAGTGCGCAGTGCATGGGCCCAAGACGAGAGGCCACAAGCACCCAAGGTGTGGGGGAGCTTGGGGGTCAGGAAGTGGGAAAAAGCCGGAGAGTGGAGGGAGCCCCATCTTGAGGCGCCAGGTCCCTCATCCTCCCTCCTGATCAGAAGCTCAGCCCCTGCCCCACCTCCCCACCTCCCCACCTCCCTGCCCCTGCCCCACCTCCCCGCTCGCAGCTCTGCAGTCTCCTCTCTGAGCTCCCAGCCTGAGAAGCTCCTGAATCCACCTCCCCAGAAGGCCTGCCCGCCCACCCCCACACACGGTTCCCACCCTGAGTGTGTGGGGCTGGACTGGGGGAAGGAAGGGCAGGATGGGGGTGGGCAGAGAAGAGTAGGGGCTGGGTGGGAGGCAGGGGCCGCAGAACTCAGAGGGTCGCCTCTTTCTTTCTGGACCCCACATTCCGCTTCCACCCCCTTCCCTGATTCTTGCCCCTTCCCTTGGTCCCTTGGGCAGCCAGGCGGGAGACGGAAGCTTTACCTCACACCTGAACGGCTTTTCCCCGGAGTGCTGCAGAGAGTGCACCTTAAGAGACATGCTGCGCTTGAAGGACTTCCCGCAGGTCTCACAGGTGAAGGGCATGTCCTTGGTGTGGGCTGCAAGGCAGGCACCAAGGCTGGCATGTCTCATGGGCCCGCCCAGGCACCGCCACGCTGGGCCCCAACCCTGCCTCCTGGGGCAGCCCTGTGCCACCACCGTCCCCTGGGGCCGGCCTTGTCCCCTGTCCCAGGACAGGGCTGACTCCCAGGAGAGGCCCCTGCCTCCATGGCTGGGTCTCCTGTCTGCTCTGAAGGTCAGCCTCAGACATGCAGGGGCCCTGTAGTTCTATAGCCTCTGGCCAGGGGAAGTGGCCAAGACTGCCTTGCCCCCAAAGCTTCAGGGAAGGATGGACGGTCCCTGAGTGGACCTGGCCTCAGCTCAGATCCCAGCCTGACAACTGGCTTCCCGCTGGGTCTCTGGGCCTCAGCTTCCTCCTCAATAAAAAGGGACTCATAGTGGTCCTGAGCTTCAGGGTGGTGGGCTTTATAGGGGACCAGATACAGAAAGGCCCTGGCCCCAGGCCCTCACCAGCAGTCTGGAGGAAGTTGCTGCACTCTCCTCAGCACCCATGGACAGGTGAGGACCAACAAACTCTTCAAGGATCTGATAGGAGGCCTCTGGAGACAGACAGGGCTCCCCTCCAAGCTCACACACACCAGTCCTAGTCTACCCAGCATGCTCCTGGCTGAGACGTAGGCTGCAGGTCTACGTCTGCAGGTCCAGCTTCCAGTCAGTCCACACTGGAGGCCCCCAGCACTGTCCGACGGAGACAGGGCCTGGTCAGGGACTCACCGTCTGCCTTGGCTACCCCTCCTGCTCAAGGCCCAGATGGGGCAGGCAAGGAAGGAAGGGCTGGAGGGACATGAGAGTCTGTCAGGCCCACATACAGCAGGTGGGCAGCCTTGCCCTGGGCAGTGGAATGGCCAAAACATACTTGGGGGACCTCCTTACTGTGTCCAGGCATGAACCCTAGGGGGAGGCTGCATTCTGAGAGGCCTGAAGCCCTATGAGGACCAGAAGGTAAGAAAGAATCAGGCACAGCTGTCATCAAACTGGCACAGGGCCTGTAGCCGCCCATGCAGCACTCTGTATAATTAGGAGAAGGTATTCCTTTCCCTGGGTGGACATGAGCCCATGCCAGGGTGCACAGCCTGGTTGGCAGTGTGCCATCTTGTCCAGGCACCCTTGTGCTGTGTGCAGGCTGCCCCACTGTATGTGCCAGCCCTGGCCCCAGGGCCTCCACGCTGAGAGGGGCTTCCTCACCCCATCACATTGCCCTTGGATGTGAAGTCTTTCCCACCCAGCAGCCAGAAGCTGCTCCATCCCCCGGGCCAGACTCACCAACCATGTGCTTGCGCACATGCGCCATGGTGTGGAACTTCTTCTCGCAGATCTCACAGGAGAACTTCTTCTCCGCGTAGCCGTGCACGGTCTTGTTGTGCTCGTGGAGGGACCAGAGCTTCTTGAAAGCTTTGCCACACGCCACACACTGCAGAGTAAGAGGGCGTTAGGCCGGGGTCCTGAGTCCCCGGCGCCTTGGGCTGGGCAAGCAACTGTCCTCTCTGGTTCAGTTTTCCCACTTGAAATGTGCTGGGGGGGGCCCTGATGCTCCTAAGGTTGCAGGTGAAAACTCCTGAAACACCCCCAAACGCACAGCCTGGGGTCCTCCTTCACCCTGAGTTAACCAGGGTCAGGGGTCACCTCTTCCAGGAAATTCCCTCCTCTGAGCTCATTTCAACAAGGGCTTCCGAAGGCACCACGCTTTGTCTGTCTGTGGAGGTGAGACGGCCAGCTAGCTGAAGGGCCACCTCTGGTATGGAGGCCACACAAAGATGATGGGTCCCACGAGGCGAGCCATTATCCCCGCTGCCTCCTCCTGCTGGGACCTGTGCCATGACACCATGGAGATCCCCAAGAGGATGGGTCCCCAAGGCGTTGGCTGAAGAGGACACCAGGATGCTCAAGTCCCATCAGCACAGAGTCGTGGGGGATGTCGGGGACCACATCCGCCCTTGTTCTGGACGCTGGTCCTGCCCACCCATGCAGGATACCCCACAGGGAGGCTAGGCTAAGGCTTGGGCAGAAACTGGTCAGGGTGCCCAGACTGGATGGCGCAGAAGCTGCTCTCTCTTTCAGGAGGGATACTCAGGTATGCAGCAGGTAGAGCATCAGAGGGCAGCCCAGTAGGCGGGCAAGTGGGCACAAGTATGTAAGGGAAGGGCAGGGGAACACTCTCCACAGGGCACTGCAATTAGCAGTTAGCTCAGGCAATTAGCACCCGCCTACCTGCTACCTTTCCCCTTTCTCCTGGGCCAGAAGAGGTGAAAACCACCCATGGGAGCCTGGCTGGCCCTGTGCCACTGCACCCTGAGAGGTGAGGCTGGCATAAACAGACTCAGGCTGGCTCAAGGCCCGGCAGCCAGCTCAGCTCCCCTGCTTAGCCCCAGCAGCCTCTGCTCTTCCCAGATTTCTCACCGAGTCCCTTCTCCCCAGACCCACGAGAGCTGGCCTCTCCAAAGAGCTGAAAGTGGGGGCTGCCTCCTACTCTCCACAGCACTTCTGTGGGAGGTGGAGGATGGCATCCCACTGGGCAGACCCCTCCTCCCAACAACCTGTGAAACTATACACAGGGTCCCTGCTGGCCTTCCTGCAGCCCTGGTGTTTGTTAAAACCCATCTGACTCATCCCGTCCAGAGTGGGCCGTCCTCTGGCCTCAGACAACTCTTCACTCACCCTCCCAGGTCACACATCCCCTCTGTCCGTCTGGCCAAGGTACTGTTTGTTCCCATCCTCTGCACGTCTCTCCACGCACCCACCTCTATCCACCTCTCCAGGAAGCTCAGGTTGATGTTACCCCTGAGCACTAACCACCCTGAGAACTGCCTGGGCTGGCCTGTCTGGGGGCAGATCATCTAGGCAATGCAGTCAGCAAGATGCTGGGTGCCTGGAGCCCAGGTCTGGCCTAGCCCCACCTGGACAGCCCCCGCCCCCCTCCCCCGCGCCCCACCTGCCCAGCCCCCAGCCCCGCCCCGCAGCCCACCTGGATGTTGCGCTCACAGTCCGTCTGCCTGTGCAGCAGCAGCTCACTCTCCAGCAGGAAGCGCTTCCCGCACTGGTCGCAGATCTGCATGCGGCTGTGGGTCACGTTCATGTGTTTCTCCAGGTACCAGCGGTTGTTGAAAACTCGTGGGCACTTCTGGCACGGATGGTGCTGCTTCTCCTCCAGCTTCACCTTGGCCCCCAGCCCATCAGTGGCTGGCGGCCCCCGGGCCGGTGCAGAGGCCTGCTCCGGGAGGGGGCTTCGGCCGCTTCCCACCCCGCTGCCCAGCCTCCTCAGGTTCAGGGGTGCCCCGACGCCGGGCATTCTCCCGGGACCGCGTGGCCATGTGACTGTGGGGAGGGGGGTCTGCCCGGCTGCCTCGGCTTCCCCGTGGCCCCTGTTTGCCCCCAGCCTCCCCCTCATCCCCCTCCTCCTCCTCAGAGCTCTCTTGATCCTGCTCACTGGGTGCTTCCTCCTCCTCCTCCTCCTCCTCCTCCTCATCCTCCTGCTCACTGTGCCCCTCCTCCTCCTCTTCTTCCTCCTCTCCCTGACTGCCACCCTCCTCCTCCTCCTCCTCCTCCTCCCCTCCACTGCCACCGCCTTCCTCTTCCTCCTCTTCCTCCTCCTCTTCGTCCTCATCGTCCTCCTCCTCATCTGAGTGTCTCTGCAGCCCGTCGTCCCGGCCCAGCACCATGGTAGCCGGGCTTGGCCCGGCACCTGGCTTCCCCTCTGGCCCCGTGGACACGTGCAGTGTCTGGTTGTTGAGGTTCACCTCCACGATGATCTGGGACTGCTCCCTGCGGCTGTAGGTGCCAGAACCCCCAAGCTCTTCCTCCAACTCCTCCCCACCCTCCAGCTTGCACAGGCTGGCTGGGGGCCCGCCAGCCTCCTCAACACCACCCTCCTTCTCCTCCTTGAAGAAAGGCTGGGCTGGCCCAATGGTGGCAGGCCCTGTGCCGCCAGCAGCCCCTGCCCCGTCCTCGACACGCACGGAGAAAGGGTCGGGGCCCTCTCGGGCGAAGATCTTGGGCAGGCCTGGGGTGTCGGCCTCCTGCTTGATGTCACAGTAGTAGGGGGTTGCAGCTGGGGTGCAGCTGGCGGCCGGCTGGGCCAGGGCCACAGTGCCAGGGCCTGGTGGGCCTAGAGAGCGGGCATCCAGCAGCTCCTGGCAGGACGCAGCAATGTCAGCCATCTGCAGCAGCGAGGCGGCGCTCAGCACCTCGTGGACGTTGGCTGCGTTGACCAGCAGCTTGGACGTGTAGATGAAGTTGAGGATCTGCTGCAGGCCCCCAGGTGCCAGCGCCTCCAGGGACAGCTCCACACGCTGCAGCTGCTTGTTCTGGGTGAAGAGCGAGTGGAAGAACTGGCTGTAGGCAGCCAGCACGCCCTTGTGCGCCGGGAAGACGCTGCGCTGGGGCACCAGCACCAAGTCCACGTCGCAGAGGTCGGGCTGGAAGAGGCGCTGCTCGTTGAGACGGCCCATCAAGCAGGCAAAGTGCAGCGCCACGTCCTCCACCAGCGAGAACTCAGCCGCCGGGGAGTCGGTCGTCTTCTCAACCAGCAACTGCGGGGACAGAAGGCACAGGAGTGGGTCAAGGCCAGCGGGCCCCTGCCTGCCCTTCCCCCGGCGCCACCCCCAGCGTAGCCCGTGGCTCTGAGCCACAGAGCCGCAGCTCTAGCAAGGAAGGGACTCAAGCCTGAAGGAGCAGCCCTCTGAGCTCAGACCACCCTGAACCCTCTGAGGCTGAAGGTCAGCTCCTGTCACTTTTCTGGGCCTCTGGGTCGTCTGTGAAACAGGAAAAGTCATCCCAGAAAGGGAAAGAGAAGGAAAGAGGACAGAAGGGGAACCACAGCGACCCACTGTCCACGTTTGCCAGGGACCCTGGCCTTTTCTGGGGTACAGGGTTTCAGTGCTGGAACCAGGACCATCACAGGCACCCCTGGAGGGCCGCAGACATTCCTTCAGCGATTCTTGAGCCATGTGGATTCTCTTTGCATATCCACTCACACATACCAATACTAGCCCCAAACACTTCAAGAACAGAAGTCACGCTCGCCGCTCACTGCCCGGCATCTGGCTACAGCACCTGAGGGGACCCCTCACTGCAGCAGCCCTCGGCTGCTGCAGAAGTTGAAGAAATCCAGGCCCAGGACCAGTATCTTCTCCCTGCTCTCCCCTGCTGCACCGCCTGGTGAGGCCTGGCCAGACCCTCATCACAGCCAGGGCTTGGGCCAGGCTGCCCCAACCCCTGCCTTCAGCCTCAGGCCTAGCTCCCAGAAGCTTTCTCACCCAGGGGCTCTGCAGGGGTGGAAGGCCACAGCTGTGGAACCTGCCTACCATGCTTGCAGGCAGGAGGCCTCTAAGGCCACCCCAGACCCTTGCCCTGTAGGCCCCGAGATCCCAGGTGAGGTTCGGTCCATGTCACAGGCTCTAGGAAAGCCCTGCCTTGGAGGCCACACCATCCGGGGCCTCCGGAGCTCTAGGGGAGTCCCTCAAAGTTTGATGGGTCAGACTCAGCCCTGTAGGCCACATCCAGCACCTGTAGGTGCTGGAATAGAGGCTGACTCAGTCACCACCGGCTCTACCGCAGCAGCCTCCCCAACACAGACAGGCAGCCGCCCAGTCCCCGCACGAGGCCAGCACACAGCCACGCGCAGATGTTAGGTAACATCTGCCAACCACCTGCCCGGCTGGACCACCCCCATGGTTATGCCCAGCCAGGTCAGAGCCTCCTGCATTTGGGACGTACCTGGCTACAATATTTGATGGCCACAAAACCATCAGCTCCATTGCTGCCAGTGCCTCCCTGGGGACCCTGGGATAAATCCTGACCCCATCCATCCACAGCCTACCCCCAGCCCCATGCCAGACCTCCATCTCCAGGACAGCGGTGGGCTGGGTGGGACCAGGTAGGGGTGGTGGTTGAGCTCCCCTCCTCAGTTACCTATCGTGGGCCTCAGGATGAGCCTCCCTGAGCCACCAGGGGCCACCTGCCTCCAGGCCCACCCTGGACCCTGTCTCTACACTCAGCAGGGCAGAATGTGCTCTCTCACAGCTTCCTTGAGTTCTCCACCATGCTCCTTATCCCAGCCAAGAAGCCACCCATCTGCTCCTCTCTGTCCCAAGCTGGCCAGGCCTGTCCAGTCTAACTGGGACATGGCACCAAGCCCCTCCCATCTCCCTCTGACTCATTCTGATTCATCTTCTGCGACCAACCCCTACTACACAGATGGAGAAATCGAGGCTCAGAATGAGAGTTCCAGAGTCCAGAGCCCCTGGACTCCCAGCTCTGCTAAGTCCAGCCCTTCCTTGCTAGACAGGACAGCACTCCACATGGCTGGATTTCTGAGCCTTTAATGACTTAAAAGGTGAAAACACCCCTGCCCCTGGAGGCCAGCTGTGCTTCCCTAGTCCCACCCCAACTCCCGCTACCTGCTTCCTCCCCAGAGCCACTGCACCTGCAGGTCAGTGAAGAGTCAGGGTGCAACCCGGGCTACAGCACAGTCCTCCTTAGGGCCTCCAGGGGTCAAACAGTGGAAGAGGCTTGGATCAGGGCTTGCCAAAGCCAGGCCTGTTGGAGGGGGGGGTCCACCCCAGGCAACAGAGCCCCAGATCTCTCTGCTCTCCCTTTATGGAACCCCTTCCACTGCCCACCTGTGCCCACCTGCCGCCTTGGGCACCTTCCCATGTATACTTTGGCCTTTGGGCCAAATGAGGCCTGATTTCGGTCCTCTGGCCTCTCAGCGGGAAAGGAGGGGAGCGCTGCCTGGACACTCCATTGCTAAGGCAGCACCCCAGCCAGGCTAGCACCATCCACAGTTCTCAAGTGCCTGAATCTCACTACCCGACTGGACTCCCTTGACTGGGCACAGAGATGCTGCCCGAGTCCACCACTGGCAGCCCCTCAGCAGGGTGCGCCCCCCCCCCCACAGTGCCCACCAGCTGTGCTGGCTCGCACAGCCAGAGGTGCTGATTCTCCGAAGCAGTGGGTGCCCCTCCCCACCCGGCTGTGCCAGCTGCAGTCCAGGCCCCTCCAGCCTAGCTAAGATGGGACCGGGGAGGCGGCCAGGCACTCTGGTTGCTACGGGGTTTCATTTCCTTTCCTCAAACCCTCGCCCCAAGTCAGGCTGGGGATTCGCCAGGTGCCAGGGACATGTCTCCAAGGCTGCTCACCCAAGTCACAGACTTCTGCACCTGAGGGGCACCTCACCTCACTGGCGCAAAGCCTCATCTCCCTACCCTGTCCCAGCGTTCCTGGACACGCTGGGGAGTCCACCTGTGCCCCCTCCCATGTCAGTCCTTTCTTTGCTGGGCAGCAGTGGGTGGGCCCAGACTGAGCAAGGGGGCAGAGGCTCATGACCTCGAGGCTCCTCCTTTTGGGGAGGGAATGCCTATACCAGCCTCCTCTGTGCTCACACCTCCCCTTTCCCTTGGAAATAGACCCAGAGAGGGCGGGGGACCTGCCCAAGGTCACACAGGAGTTGGCATGGGGGCCGCAGGTGTCCTCCGACACCCCCTCGGCCAGGTTCACCCCGAATCCCCGGGCAGGGCGGCTCCAGCGCCCACGTGGCCCAAGGCCCAAGCGGGAATCCGACTCCCTCTTCCCCGCAGGACCCAGCCCGAGGGCGGCGCCGTCCCGGCGCAGGGGAGCGCCCCGCTTCGCCGGTGCCCGGGGAGACCTCGGCCTCGCGCCGGCGCCCCCACCCCAGGAATTCAACCCCTCCCCACCGCGAGCTGCGCGGCCGCAGCGCCGCATTCCCGGCCCGCGGGACCGGGCGACGGAGTCGGGAGAGCCGGGGTGGGGGAAGGTCCTTCCGGCGCCTCTCCTGAGCCACGGGCCGTGCGCCCGGGAGGCCGGAGCCCGCAGGTGGGCGGATAAGCGGGGGGACAGGCAGGGCCCTGCGTACCATGGTGCCGCGGCGCGGGGGGCTCACAGGGCCCCGCGGGATCGCGCTGCCCCCGGCGGCCGGGCCGGGGCCGCTCCATGAAGCGCCGCGCTGGGGGCCGCCCCCGCGCAGGGCCCCGCGACCATGGCCCCCGGGGGCGCGGCCGGGCGGGCGGAGGCGCAGGGCCGCGGCGAGTCCAGCGCGAGCAGCTGCGGCCCCGGAGCCTCGGGCGCGGCGGGCGGGGGGCGCGGGGCGCCGATTGGAGCCCGCGCGTCAGCTGGGGCCGCCGTCTGGACGCTTAAAGGGCCAGGCCGCGCTGCGTGCCGCGGGGGGCGCGGACACGCGTGGTGAGCGCCGCCCCCGCCCCGCCCGGCCCCGCGGCTCACAGCCGAGCGCGCGGAGCCTCCTGCGGGAAGTCCGGACTCGGACGTCGGCCCCTCCGCCTGCGCACGAGCGGGAGCCCGGGTCCGAGGCTGCGGCGAAATCAGGAAGCGGAGCGCGCCCGGATCCCACCCCGACAGGCAGTCCGCCCGCCCTCCCCGGCGATCCCGCGCGGGGAGACTTCACCCCGCACCTCGCGCTCCACCTCTCGCCTGGGCTGCCTGACCTGGGGGTGAGTGCGGGGTCCTCACCCCTGTCCCGGGGCGGCGCGGGGCTCGGGTTTTCCGCGCCTCCGGGGCGGTACTTGCCTGGCGGCCTCACGCTGCATCGGGCCACCCTGGCCGGGAGAGCGGGACCCAGGACTCCGGCTGCAGCGATCAGATCCTCTCAGGTGACCGGCCCGGACCAGAGGCCCAGGCCCGACTGCGCCCCTCTAGTCGCCTGGCCTGACACTGCCGAGGGGCCCCCCGCTCGGCCTCTGCTGGGGAGATGCAGCCGGGCTTGCGGAATGCTGCTCTGGCACGGACACCCGTGGGGGCAGGGGGCTGGATCTGCCGGCAGGAGGCTGTGAAGGAACGTCGCCAGGCTGAGCAGGCAGCAGGGTGGGGACCGCGGGGCACTGGGCCTGGCGAGGGCTGGGCGGCGACTGGGCCACCGCTGCAGAGGAGAGGCCTCTGTGGGCACCCCCAAACTGACTGCTGCCCATCCTGGGTCACAACCACGTCCCTCCCACACGTGCTCTTGTGTTTACGTGCAGGTCCACGTCCAGCTGCAGCACAGTCCCCTGGGTGTGCTGCCCTACTCATGAGCGGGCAGGGACTCTGGCGCCGGCTCAGGGTGACTTGGTTCTAGGTGCCAGAGGAGGAAATGGAGGAGAGACCAGGGTCTTAGGCAGGCGCCATGAAGTAGCCTGATGGTCTGGCCCATCAGATTGCAAGGGCCTCCTCTCACCCCCTCTCTCCGCCAGAATACAGAGGGCCTCCGGACAAGGCTGTCCCAGAGCCAGGGAGAAGATATCTCAGGAGCCAAACCTGAGGCCTCCGGACGCCCTTCGCAGCTGCTGCAGACATCCTGCACCTGCATGGATGCACAGACACCTGGCTCAGCTCCCAGATACCTCGGGCTAAGCCCAGGCCGGAGCAACTGACGCCAGTCCCCGGAGGGCTACCTTCTGCCTCTTCCTCCAGCCCACTTCCTTGTCTGACTCACAGTGGATCCTAGCACTGGCCCAGGAGGCAGCAAGGGAGGGGCTGCATGCCCATGGGATGGATAAGGACTCTGAGGCTCATGTAGGTGTCAGCATCAGGAGCCAGGGGAAAGGAAGGTGGGGAGAGGGGACCCCTCCACGGGCTGGAAGGAGCCTGACAGAGAGAGCTGCATAGACACTGCTGGGCGCGCTGCCAAGCCAAAGCTTGACAGAAGGTGTGGCCAGCGCGACTGAGGCAGTGATGCCGGTCCTGTGGGGCCCTGTTGGGGCCATGGCTGCAGCAGTGAAGCTGCAGGAGGGCCTGGAGGTTGGGTGAGAAGGGAGGGGATGGGTGGTGGGGAGTCACTCAGTCTCCCTGAAGGCGTCGGCTGCGGCTCATTGGCTGGGGAGTCCCAGCGCAGGGCCTGCGCTCTGTGAGCAGCTGTGGGCACCTGGTCACACTGGACCTGGCGGGAAGGAGTGGTTTGAAGAGCTGTCTGGTGGACCAGAGGCCTGCTCAGAGCTGAGGCTTGAACTTGAACATTAACTAGAGCAATGAAGGAGTGGGAGGGCTTTTCAGGCAGACAGCCCCTGCCAAGGCCAGGAGGTGGAGACTGCTTAGCACCTGCAGGGAACTGGAGGGGATTTGGTGAGTGGAGTCATGATTCCTGTGGGACCGGAGGGGCTGTTCGATGGAAGTGAACAGAGGCTGTGAATTTCTCTCTTGGTCCTGATGAGGGGCATGCAGCAGGAGCCTCACTTCAGGGGAGGTCAAGGCAGGATTGCTGGAGGGAGGGACGGAGTTACTGGGGAGGCGGCCCATAGGCCAGAGGGGCGAGTCAGAAGTGTGGAGACGGCTCACCCCGAAAGGGCAGTTTAGTGATCCTTCACAGATTTGGGATTAGGTCTCAGCAAGGTCAGCAAAGTCATGCCCCTGCCTCTAGAGGACAGCTCATGGGCTTTCTCTCAATTTCCCTGAGTGTCTACCCTCCATGCTGCGTGTCCCCAGGCTTGGCTGGGGAAACCAGATTCAACCTGACTGAAGCTGGAAGGAGCAGCCCAGGCTGTGGGTGAGCATGTGTGTGGGGGAGCAAGTCAGGCTTGAGTCTGCCCAGAGGGCCTGGAGCTGTGTGTAGTTGAGCCTGGGGAAGAGGGAGAGCAGAGTGGGCAATGCCAGACAACACAGGCCATGCAACTCAACTGGCACAGCATGGGGTCGGTGGGGTGGCTACCCAAGCTTTCCCTGCCCTGCTGACTGCAAGGCCCTGCAGGGCAGGGAAACATGAATCCACTGGGGGTGGGGTGGAGTGGGGTAAGTGTGGAGGTTGCACCTGAATTCTGCCTCCACTGAGCTCAGCACTAATAGGTTACAGCTGCCCTGGGTTGGGGGCCTCATGCAGACTGGCACCTTGCCTGGTTTCCTCTCAGCATCAACATCATGGCTTTGCCATTTCAGGTCTCTCTCAAAGCTTCTAGGATCCTCTCCCGCCCTGTTGGTTCTGGGGACCTTGGGCCTCTCACTAGTGACTGAGCCTGGCCCTACACTTGAACCCTCTGGACTCCCCCACTTCTCCTAGAGGCACCACCTCAGGACCACTGGTACATGCTTGGTTTTCTAAACAGTTAATACACCACAGTCCTAGGAGGGAGGAATCCCTAGCATCGATTTTTCAGATAAGCTGAATTTTAGAGATCAAGCAAATTATCCCCTTTCTGGCTACCCAACTGGGAAGTGGCAGAGTAGAACTCGAACTCAGGAAGTCTGGTTCTGGCCCAGAGTCCTTAAGGATTGTACCGTAGAATTGCTGCTCTTAGAAATCCTCCTGTTTCTTCAAAATAAAATCAAATTAGGCTGGAGGCGTTGAGGTCGGTGGGGACTCTTCAGGCTTTCTCTGGGAACCTGGACTGAGAGATTTTAGTTGCTAGAGGTCCTAGGTGACCAGGGGTGGGGGGTGGTGCGTGCAGTGCCAGCCTAGTCACCCTACCGGTCGGCCAGGTCCACTGGGAGGCAGACTTGTCTGCAGGCTGGGAAGGGGTGAGAGCCCTGGTTGGGTGTCATGTCTGGGTGCGCCAGTCATACGCACCCTCTTTCAGGGTTTAGGAGCCACAGGACGTCCAGGAGCAGGGCTCAAGACGAAGAATGCAGGCGTTTGTCCTGAGACCGCAGGTCACTCTTTCTGTTCTTAGGGTCTTGCTCTGTTGCCCAAGCTGGACAGAGTTGCAGGCATGGCTCACTGCCATCTCCACCTCCTGGGCTCGTGATCCTCACCTCAGCCCTCTGCGTAGCTGGGACTATAGCTGTGCCCTACCATGCCTGGCTACTTTTTTGTTCTGTTGTCCAGACTGGTCTTGAACTCTTAGCCTCAAATAATCCTGCCTTGGCCTCCCAAAGCACTAGAAATACAGGTGGCCACTCCCTCTTTTACCTTGATGTACTCATGGTTCTTGGCTGGAGATGCAACCCTCGCCAGGTAGCCTGGTTCTGCAGGCTGTGAAGCTCAGCTGTCTAGGGAGGTGGAGCTTGATGGGCTATAGTAAGTGGTAGGTCTGGGGTCTTCCAAGAGGCAGCAGGCCCACCTGGGGTCTTCTGATTCGCAGGGAGGAGGGAGTCGGCAGCAAGGGAGCACTCCCTCTGCCTTGTCCTGAAACTTTGAAAGAGAACAAGACCACTCACGCCTCCTACCCCTGTGTGTGTGGCCAGGGCAGGCTCTCCTTGCCCAGCACTTACCCGGCACTGACAAAGCTTCCCAGTCTGTCCTGAGGTGAACAGGTGTTCTTTCAGAGTACCCAACTCCTCCTGACCCCTCTGGACTCCTGAGAGGCTCTTACAGCATCTAAGAACTTCCTGCTCTCTTCCCAGCTCATTCCGAGGGCCTGCATTCTACCTCTCACCTCACTGTGGGCAGCAGCAGTCAATTCTGTTCCCAAAGCCAGTCGTCTGGAAATCGGAACCCAGTCCCTTCCACCTGGGGAGGTGTGGCTCCACGTCCTCTCACCTGACCACACGAGTTTGCGATCCTCCTTCAAGGCTCAGCATTTGCCTTGAGAAAGTGAGCAGAGCCCCTCTTTTTAAGTAGTGATGGGACTTCACCATGTTGGACTGGCTGGTCTCGAACTCCTGACCTCAGGTGATCCACTTGCCTCGGCCTCCCAAAGTGCTGAGATTACAGGCGTGAGCCACCATGCCCGGCCACCTCCTGTCTCTTCTAAACAATGATACCCAGTTAGTGTCCACTGTCTCTTGCAAGAAGGGCATTTTCCTTGAATTCTCTTCCCACCTATTTAATAACCAGCTAATTCAGAACAGTCAGACCAAAGTCCTTGGCACATTTCCTCCCCCAATACTGCCCAACTGATCAAGTTTACCACTAACAGAACTTGATCCTGCAGTTTCTTTACATTTTAAAAGAATGCATCCAGATTTGACAAATTTCAGGAGTTGCCCAACTAAGGAGTCCACTGTTAACTCAGTTTAAAAACTGAGGATCTGCAAGTGAGAAGTTACTTACAATGAAAAGCTATGTTGTATTCACTAAGAAAATACACATTCCTTTCAGTTTGGAGACAAAAGTTAATTGTACTTCCCCTGCAAATTCTTATGTGTATGCTAAAAATATCACCAGGAGTGTTTTCTCTGGGAGGCGTGGTATGTGCTGCCTGCCTGCCGCGAGGGAGGGAAGGGTAGAGCTGTCTCCAGGCAGCAACTCACAGACGGGAGGGGACATATCCCTCCCAAGCAGACATC